TTGAAAATTATTGAATTCTTGCAACGATTATTATTGAAATTTAAAAAAAAAGATTTACTAATTTTTTCTTATATATAGTTTGCTATTTCACAAAATTTTCAAGTAGAAGTTTTAATTCAACGAAAAGCCATCTCTTTTAAGAAGAATTCTCTTCGTAAGTCGCGTATTATAAAAAAATTTTTTTTTTTTGTCTTCTTGTCATCAAAACTTGTCTTTCTGCTATTATTCTTGTTTCTTTTCACTATATACATGCTTTTTGATTCTTATTCAGCTTTATAACGTACATTCATGTAGGTATGTAAGAGTCTCAAAACAACGACAAAACGAGAGTTTTAACATCTTTTCAAGTTTTTTAAAGCTCATTTTCAAATGGAGTGTCTAGCGCTAGAATTAACACGGCTTCAGAGAATACAGTCGGCTGAAAACAAAACTTTTAATACCGCTTTAAGCGTGAAATTGTAAAATAAGCGATTCTAAAGAAATATTTCTTTACTTTATTCTATGCTCAACTTTAATTTTGTTTTTTAATTTTTAATATCTTATTAGAAATGTTGCCATTTGGCAAACATTTCTAATAAGATATTAAAAATTAAAAAACAAAATTTAGAAATGTTGCCATTTTTAATAAGATATTAAAAATTAAAACACAAAATTAATTAAATAATTATAATTTAAATGTAAATTTAAATATAAATTTTATCAAATAATTAATCAAGATATCAAAAAATGTCACTTTGAGAAGAAGCTCCCCAATAAAAAAATAAAATTGCAAACACTTTTAAAACCTGACTGTGAATTCGAATTCAGCGTTAAATTAATTTAGAAACAGGTTTCTGTTGCTCGGATCCAAAACCTTGTACTCCTATGTAATTTACTTATAAAAAAGTTTTCTGCTTGAATATTTCATATTTCTAGGATTGCGTATAAAATTTGATAATTCAATAGTAAAATTCTATCATATCAATTGAGATTTAGAAGGGCGTTGAATAATTTTTGAATTTAAGTCAAGTTTGTAAAGAGGAAGAATATTTCCGCTGTCTATATAGTACATTTATGAACTCCATCAAAACTTTTCTTACACTCCTTGAACTGAGAAACTTCTTTGCATTTCCTTTCGAGCTGCTTTACTCATAAGGAATATGGGTGGATTATACGCAGACCGAATCAACGATCATATGAAAGGAGAAAATAAGATCCATTTCATATACATACATACAATATGAGTTGAAAAAAGTTACATTCAAATTGTCATGAATCTAAAAATAATAAAAATAATACTACCACGCTCTTTCAATTCAATATTTACACTTTATAAAAATAGAATCATTCCCCGTGGATGTAAAATTTTTTACGATTCTGAGAGATTATTAAACATTTTAAGTATTGTTACTTTTTTCATTTCGAATTGAAAATATTCCGTTATGAAAATGTCAGACTTCGCACTCGATAATTAATTTTTAAAAAAGTAGCTTTCAAACTAAAAAAAGTAGTAAAAAGTAGCTATTAAATTAAGAAAAGTAGTGAAAATGTAGCTATTCAAAAAATTTACCTTGACGACCAAGAAACCTCGTTTTAGATACTTCACAAAACTAACAAAAATTATGATCCTAAAGTTCTGAACGTTCAAATGAACGAAATTTATTTATTTTCTTCTTTAATTTAAATATTTATTACAATAATTTTTTGTCGATATAAAATAAATGAATTATAAAGTTTCTAAGTGTAAAATTTAAGTTTTTAATTTTTATTGCAAACAATAAATTATAAAACCATTTCTAATAAAAAGTGTTTCGTTCATTTGAATGTTCAAAACTTGTGGATCATCAAAAATTTCAAATCCATATTTTTTATTTTACAGACTTTTTCCTACTTTTCATCAAAAATATTATTTTACTTCTTTCTTATCCAGCTAATAAATTGAATTCCTGCAACGAATTTTATAGTTCATGAAAAAATTTAAATATTTAGCAAAATAATTTAATTCTTGCCAAGAATTTTATAAAATTTTTTAAATAATTCTTTTCATTCGACTAATTTTATGCAAACTCTACTTTAAATAATATAATTTCTGAGAATTATAAAAATATAATTATGAAACAATTATGAAATAATTATGAAAATCATAAAAAGAATTGAATTCTTACGAAGATTTTTACAACAAATTTTTTAAACAATTGAATTCTGTTTATAAATTTTATAAAAATAGTTGATATTGAAATTCATTAAAATGCGAAAAGTTCTGAAAAATAATCAAATTTTACAAAGAATTCTATTAAAATTTTTGACGATAATTCAATGTCTGTGTAGTATTTTATTAAATTTATTTGAAACTAATTTAATTCTTAAAAAGCATTTTATTATTTATATGAAAATAATTGAATTCTTGCGAACGATTTTATTAGAATTTTTTAAAATAATTAAATTTCCAAGAAGAAATTTATTACTTTTAAAAATAATTAAATTCTTTTAATGAATATTGTTATTTATGCAAATAATTGCATTTTGTCAAAAATTTTATTATAATTTCTCGAAATCATTGAATTTTTGGTAATAATTTTGTTATTTATCTTTAATAATTGAATTCTTTCGAAGAATTATTTATGTAATAATTGAATTCTTCGGAGGAATTTTATTAAAATCTAAAAGAATAATTGAATTATTAAAAAAAAAGTAATTAAAATTGTATTTAAAATAATTTTTTCTTTCGAACAATTTTATTAAAATATTTAAAAATAGTTTAATTCCTGAGAAAAATTCTAATATTTTTGTAAATAATTGAATTATTCCAAAGAATTTTAAAAAAATGTTTTAATAATTGATTTTTTCGAGGAAATTGACATGAAATTTTTAGGAATAATTACATTTTTTGATCAATTCCTATAAAATTGTATTAAAAATATTTGAAATCTTAGGATGAATTTAATTATTTATGCCAATAATTAAATTTTGTTAAAGAGGTTTATTAAAATTTGTGAAAATAATTAAATTCTTCCAAAGAATTTTATTATCTGTTAAAATAATTTAATTCTGGAGTAAAAATTTGTTAATATTTTTGAAAATAATAGAATTTTGAAAAAGAATTTTATTATTTACAAAGATAATTGAATTTTGGACAAGAATTTCATAAAATTTTTCCACATAATTGAATTTTTCTGAAGAATTTTATTATTTATGAAAATAATTGCATTCCTCAGAAGAATTTTATTATTTATAAAAATAATTGAATAGTTGCTATGAATTTTATTAAAATTTTCAAAAATAATTGAATTCCTGTGAAGAATTTTATTATTTATAAAAATAATTTAATTATTGTGAAAAATTTTATTAAAATGTTTAAAAAGAATTGAATTTCTGTGAAAAAAAATGTTGTTATTTTTGAAAAAAATTGAATTTTTGTCGAGGACTTTATTTGTGAAAATAATTTAGTTTTTCGATTAATTAATTTAAAATATTTAAAAATAATTGAAATTCTTCGATGAGTTTTGAGTATTAATTATGAAAATAATTAAATTCTTGCTTAGAATTTTATCATAACTTTTTTTAAATAATTGAATTTTCATGAAAACACTTATTATTAGTGAAAATAATTGAATTATAGTTAAGAATTGTATAAAAATTTTGTTAAATAAAAAAAAAACATTTTTTTTAATAATTGATTTTTTCGAGGATAATTGAATAGTTGCTATAAGAATGTTATAAAAATTTTCAAAAATAATTGAATTCCTGTCAAGAATTTTATTATTTATGAAAATAATTGAATTATTGCGAAAAATTATATTAAAATGTTGAAAAAGAATTGAATTTTTTATGAAAATTTTGTTATTTTTTAAAATAATTTAATTCTTTATAAGAATTTTATAAACATTGTTTTAAATGTCTTATTAAATTTTTCGAAATATAATAATTATTGTGAAAATTTTATTATAACTAAATTCTTGTGGAAAATTTTATTTGTGAAAATAATTGAATTTTTCGATTAATTAATTTAAAATAGTATTAAAAAAAAATTGAAATTATTCGATGAGTTTTATTATTTATGAAAATAATTAAATTCTTGCTTAGAGTTTTATCAAAATTTTTTCTAAATAATTAAATTTCGATGAAAAATATTATTATTTGTAAAAGTAATTGAATTATTGTGAAGAATTGTATAAAAATTTTGTTAAATAATTGATTTTTTCGAAATTTTCTTGAAAATACTATTCTTAATTAATTGAATTCCTGTGGAAATTTTATTATTTATGGAAAATAATCGATTTTTGGATGAATATTATCAATTTGTTTTTATGAATTCCTTTGCGAAATTTTCTGAAAATCATATATATATTATTGAAAATAATTGAATTTCGAATATTTATTGAAAATAGTTTAATCGTTTTAAAGAATTTTATTATAATTTTCAAGAATAGTTTTTTGATTTCTAGTATTAGTGAATTTAAAGTAAATTCTCGAAAAAACAAAAATAGTATCTTTTAGTGTCTTAAATCTAAAAAAAAGTACCCAAATAGTAGTATAGCGTAAAAAAAGTAGTAAATAGTAGGTTTTAGTAGATGAGTGCGAAGTCTGAAATATTGATTTTAATTTCATTTACTGTGTTTTGTTAGTATTTATAATTTAGTAAGGAAAATGAAATTGAGTAGGTAATGGAAAAAACAGACAAAAACAAAAACGTTTTTATCCCTTTTAACGCACAAAAGTTTTTTTAACCATTTTTTCAAAGCCTCCATATATCCGTTAATCGAATTGAATTTCCTGCGTGTCTGACAAAAATAAAAAAATTTCCTAAATGGGAAAATTTACGAGAGTATTTTTATGATTCTTCACCTCGTTGACGTATACGATTTGAAAATTTTATTTTTGTTATTTACAGCCGAATTTTTGCAATTCTTTTTTTTCGAAAAGTAACTATGGAAAAAATTGACTAATTGTATTTATGGCGGGAGTAATATTTTTCTAGCAGATTTATAACAACAGTTTTGTGTGAATTTTTGTTTTTTCAGCGCTGGGTCAGGTGATGCTGTATGTGGATGGAATGAATGGAGTGATGGAACACGGTCAAACCGTGCAATGGCTGTATACACTGATCGCTAGTCGTTTTCGGTTGGTGGTAAAAACTGCTCTTAAATTATTGCTTGTTTTCGTTGAATACGTGGAGACAAATAGCTTGCTATTAGTGAGAGCAATAAGGTCCATTGATACGTCCCGGGGGATGATACCATGGACCAATGTGATGAAGTTGCTGAAAGATTACGATGCCGCCGACACTGAATTATTGATATATGCAACAACTCTCGTGAATAAGTGTCTTAATGGAATACCAGATCAGGACACGTATTATGATCAAGTCGATTGTCTTGAGGAGCAAGGCATTGAGGGTATCATCCAAAGATATATGTCTAAGCAAGGAACCGATTTGGATCTCCTGAGACAATTTCAAATCTATGAAGCTGTCCTGCATCATGAGGATGGCAATGACAGGGACTTTCCAATTAGACAACTTGATGACAATATTAGGTAATTGTTATTTTATTATTCTCCTGGTTTTATTATTTTATTACTCTCCTAGTTTTATTATTTTACTATTTTCAGGCCTCACACTCATCTACTAAAACCTACTATTTACTATTTTTTTACGATCGTAAAAAAATAGTAAATAGTAGGTTTTAGTCCAAATAGTATACTATTTGGATACAATTCAATTAATTTCAAAAATATTAACAAACTTTTTTGGCCAGAAATCAATTATTTTAATAAACAATAAAATTCCTCGAAAGAATTTAACTCATCGAAGAATTTCAATTATTTTTATATATTTTAAATTAATTTATCGAAAAACTAAATTATTTTCACAAATAAACTCCTCGACAAAAATTCAATTATTTTCAAAAGTAATAAAATTCTTCAGAGAAATTCCATTGTGTTGAAAAATTTAAATAAATTCTTGTCAAAAATTCAATTATCTTTGTAAATAATGAAATTCTTTTTCGAAATTCAATTATTTACAAAAATATTAACAAATTTTTACGCTAGAATTCAATAATTTTGAATACAATTTTTATTTAATTCCTGGAAAGAATTCAATTATTCTCACAAATTGTAGTAAAATTATTTAATACAATGCAATTAATTTCAAGAATATTTTAACAAATTTTTTTGACTAGAAATTAATTATTTTAATAAATAATCAAATTCGTCGATTAATTGTGCTCACAAATTTTAATAACCTTCTTCTAAAAAATTCAATTATTTTCAAAAATAATAAAATTTTTCGCTAGAAATTCAATTTTTTTCTGAATTTTAATAAAAAATTTCAAAACAAAACAATTATTTTCAGAAATAATTGATTAGATTTTTCATAATAATTCAATTAATTTCTTTACAAATGTAATTAAATTCCTTGAACAAAATTTAATTATTTTCAACAAATTTTAATAAAATTCTTTGAAACAATTTAATTTTTTTTTCAAAAACTAATAAAATTATTTGACAAGAATTCAATTATTTTCAATACACTTATTTTAAATTTCTCAAGAGAATGGAATTATTTTCACAAACTTTAAAGAACTTCTTTAAAAGAATTCAATTATTTTTTACGCAAACATTTAATTTACAGGGGATTCAATTATTTTCATAAAATTCTTTTCAAGAATTCAATTATTTTCATAAATAATATCATTTTTATTTAGTAATTCAATTAATTTAATAAATAATAATATTCTTCGTAGAAATTTATTTATATATTCAAAAATTTTTTTTAAATTCTCGCAAAAAATTCAATTTTAATAATAATTGTTGCAAGAATTCAATTATTTTCAATAAATAATAAAACTCGTCGCAGGATTTCAATTATTTTTAATACAATTTTAAATGAACTCCGCGAAAAATGCAAAGACTATTCTTATAAATTTTAATAAAATTCTTTTCAAGAATTCAATTATTTTCAATACAATTTTATTAAAATATCAGAATTTAATTATTATTCTTAAAATTTTGATAAATTTCTTTGCAGAATTTCTATTATTTTTACTCGTTGAATTTTTAAATTTGAATTTTTAATGAATTTAATTGAAAATTTTAAAGAACTCATAATTTGTTGTTAAATTTTGTTATTATTTGATGTTGAAAATGATTATAACAAACTTAAAAAGTATAATTTTTAAAAACAAAATAAGAATATTATAGAAAATTATTTAAATATTAGTATCAGTAGTAAAAGTCGAATTTAGTCAGACAAAATTGTGAATATAATGAAAAACATAATAATAAGCTTAGAAAGTATTTTTTGAAAATAAATAATAGAAAAATGATACAAAACTGTTTGAAAACCACTTAAAACATTAATATTAGTAGTAAAAGACTGTAATAGTCAGACAAAATTGTAAATATATTAAAACAAATAATAACAAGCTTAGAAAGTACGTTTTTTAAAAACAAAATATGAAAATTAATCAAAATTGTTTAAATACTGCTTAAAATATTAATATAAGTAACAAAAGTCGATTTTAGTCAGACAAGATTGCAAATATATTCAATATGATAATAATTAGCTTAAAAGTACATTTTTTAAAGACAAAATATAGGAAAATTATTCAAAATTGTTTAAAAACAGTTAAAACATTATATTAGTAGTAAAAGGCTGTACTAGTCACACAACATTGTAAATATAATGAAGCAAATAATAACAAGCTCAGAAATTACTTTCTATAAAAACAAATTATGAAAATCATACAAAACTCTTTAAATAAAAAATAAAATATTAAAATCAGTAGTAAAAGTCGAGTTAAGTCAGACAAAGTATAAAAATTGTAAGGACAATCTTAGAAAGTATTTTTTTTTTAAAATAGGAAAATTATTAAATTATACAAAATTGTTTAAATTAATTCAGTTAAAAACGTAATTACTCTTAAAAATTTGAATAAAATTCTTCGAAAGAATTCAATTTCTAGTTTAAAAAATTTGATGTAATTTGTTTCTTATAATTATTTTCAATTCATTTTTAATTAAATTTCTTGAATGAATTTAATTATTTTAAAAAATTGTAATGCAATTCTTCGTAAAAATTCAATTATTTAAAAAAATGTTGATAAAGTTGTTTATAAGAATTGAAATTTAAGAAATATTCAATTATTCAGATAAATTATTTATTATTTAAATAATTTAATTCTCGTAGAAGTTTCTATTAAGAATTGATTTAGAATTGAATAAAATAAAATGATTAAAGTTTTGAATAATTTTATTTATAAATTTGAAGAAAAAAATGATTGAATTTTGAAAGAACTTTTGTAATTTTTAGAAATAGTTAAATTTCAAAAATTCGTTACATTGAAATCATTTGAAATATTTTGATTCCTGTAGACAAAATAAATCTTAGGTATTTAAATATTTATTTTTAAAAATTATTCTATTTTTGAATGTAATTATGAAATTATAAAAAAATTAAGTCGTCAAGATTAATTTTTCAATAGCTACGTTTTTACTACTTTTTTCTGTCTTTAAGCTACTTTTTGCTACTTTATTAATATTAATTATCGAGTAGGAAGTCTGAAAAGGACATTTGATCTAAAAACCAAAGAACTTACTAGATAAAATTTTGAAATATTAACTGGGTGCCTGTTTCAGAATCATATTTCTCTTTTTCTCATTTTTATTATTTCTTCTTTTTTTGTGAGCATTGTACATTTGTTTTTTTTTTTTTTTGCCATTGTGTTTCAGAAAAACGCTTCGAAATCGAAAATCTCTGATGGATTCACATGAGCGGCGGAAATCTCGCAGGCACTCCACTGGAACATCACCATTATCGATGACTCTAAATGCACGTTTGAGTCCTCGATTGAACAATTCACTTGGACTGAGTTCATTGAATAATACTCTGAACAGTAGCTTAAACAATACTCTCCATTCGAGTATACCCGATGATGATGATGAATCGAGTAGTTCACAAAGTTCTCAAGGTCTTGGGGATGTACAAATGAATGGCAGTTACAAGGAAAACAAACTTGCTTACTCAGGTAAATAACATAAATTTACATTATTAATTAATTCGCAAATATCTCATCGATTTTTTTAAAAAAAAACCTATTGACAGTAAAATGAACTGTTATTTTTCATTAATTATTTAAATAAAAAATTAATAACAAATAAAATCGAGTAAAGAGGAAAAAAATCAAAATTATGTCTGGAAAATAAAATAATTTGTGGCAACTCTGCTTAGACACATTTTTTCATAGAAAAAATTAATCCAAAAATTGATTAATTTAATTTTTTTTTTTTTGGTGCTAATTTTAATTTTAATTTAAATAAGCAACGCTTTTTAATATCTTTTAGTTTCCTGTGTATAGGTATAAGTTTTTTGTTACTTGTTTTTCCATAAAGAAGCAAAGAATTTGTTAGACCTTTGCGAGTATCCGAGTCTAGTCGCGTAATTTCATCTCACGGAATGTTGCACTGTCTCCTCTTATGTACTCTTGATTCTGGATTTGTTTGCTTTCGTTTTTATACACTCATGTATGCGATGCTTGTTGATGAATTCAATACTTGAAATATATTGGAATCTCAAATGAATATGCTTGTTCGAATAGCAATGTCATTGATATCAAAAAGCTCTTTGACGATATTCATACGTACATCCTATAATTATCAAAAGGTTGAATGCAATTACTGTGAATACTCTGATAATTCCACAAAAATTATCATATATTGTGTACCATCATTTTTTAGAGTATGGATCAGAATTTAAAAAGAAAATTTAGATACATTTAAAAGCAATCTTAAAATGTGGGGTGTAAATAAAATGCAAAAAAAAGAAATGTTTCAAGCTCTTTGGGTGGTTTTTACATTTAGACATTTCCTTCCGCATGCAAAAGTAACTCCTCAGCCATAACGACAGGAATTTTAGGTAAGTGTTTACGCCTTGAACGTAAAGTAGGATTTTTAAGATTTGTCTTCCGGAACTTGGAATTCTCTAAATTCTCGAGTTTCCTTCTCTACATTTCAATTTTTCAACAATATCCATTTTTAATGAGAATTTAGTTTTTTCAACTTGGAAAGAGTAAGTCAAAATTTTGTATTTACAGTCTTCGCATTCATCTACTAAAATCTACTATTTACTACTTTTTCTACATTATGCTAATATTTGGGTACCTCTTTTATTAGATTTCAGTCACTAAAAGCTACTATTTTTATTTTTTCGAGAATTTACTTTAAATTCGCTAATACTAGAAATCAAAAAAGTATTCTCAAAAATTATAATCAAATTCTTTAAAACGATTAAACTATTTTCAATAAATATTTGAAATTCAATTATTTTCAATATATATGATTTTCAGAAAATTTCGCAAACGAATTCATAAAAACAAATTGATAATATTCATCCAAAAATCAATTATTTTAATAATAATAAAATTTCCACCGGAATTCAATTAATTAAGATTAGCTTTTTCAAAAAAACTTCGAAAAAATCAATTATTTAACAAAATTTTTATACAATTCTTCACAATAATTCAATTACTTTCACAAATAATAACATTTTTAATCGAAATTCAATTATTTAAAAAAAATATTGATAAAATTCTAAGCAAGAATTCAATTATTTTTATTAATAATAAAACTCATCGAAGAATTTCAATTATTTTTAATACTATTTTCAATTAATTAATCGAAAAATTCAATTATTTTCACAAATAAAATTTTCCACAAGAATTCGATTATAATAAAATTTTCATAGGAATTATTATATTTCGAAAAAATCAATTATTTAAAACAATATTTATAAAAATCTTCTAAAGAATTCAATTATTTTTAAAAATAACAAAATTTTTCACAAAAATTTTAATTCTTTTTAAACACTTTAATAAAATTTTTTGCAATAATTCAATTATTTTCATAAATAATAAAATTCTTGACAGGAATTCAATTCTTTTTAAACACTTTAATAAAATTTTTTGCAATAATTCAATTATTTTCATAAATAATAAAATTCTTGACAGGAATTCAATTATTTTTGAAAATTTTAATAAAATTCTTATAGCAACTATTCAATTATTTTCATAAATAATAAAATTCATGGCAGGGTTTCAATTATTTTTAAATTTTCAATACAATTTTATAGGAATTACTCAAAAAATATAATTATTCCTTAAAATTTAATTTCAATTTCCTCGAAAAAATCAATTATTTAAAAAAATGGTTTCTTTATTAAACAAAATTTTCATACAATTCTTCACTATAATTCAATTACTTTCACTAAGAATAAGTATTTTCATGAAAATTCATTTATTTAAAAAAGTTTTGATAAAATTCTAAGCAAGAATTCAATTATTTTCATAATTAATACTTAAAACTCATGGAAGAATTTCAATTATTTTTAAATATTTAAAATTAATTAATCTAAAAATTAAATCATTTTCACAAATAAAGTCCTCGATAAGAATTCAATTATTTTCAAAAATAACAAAACTTTTTACAGATTTTCAAGTTTTTTTTAATACAATTTTACAGGAATTGCTGAAAAAATGTAATTATTCTTAAAAATTTAATTTCAATTCCTCGAAAAAATCAATTATTTAAAAAAAATGTTTTTTTTAAATTCTTTGAAAGAATTCAATTATTTACAAAAGTATTAAAATTTTTCACAGGAATTCAATTATTTTTAAATATTTTAATAAAATTGTTCGAAAGGAAAAATTATTTTAAATAAAAAATTACAATTCTAATTAAATTTTTTTGAAATAATTCAATTATTCTTTTAGATTTTAATAAAATTCTTCCGAAAAATTCAATTATTACATAAATAATTCTTCGAAAGAATTCAATTATTAAAGATAAATAACAAAATTATTACCAAAAATTCAATGATTTTGAGAAATTTTAATAAAATTTTTGGCAAAATGCAATTATTTGCATAAATAACAATATTCATTACAAGAATTCAATTATTTCTAAAAGTAATAAATTTCTACTTAAAAATTCAATTATTTAAAAAAATTCTAATAAAATCGTTCGCAAGAATTCAATTATTTTCATATAAATAATAAAATGCTTTTTAAGAATTAAATTAGTTTCAAATAAATTTAATAAAATACTACACAGACATTGAATTATTGTCAAAAATTTTAATAGAATTCTTTGTAAAATATGATTATTTTTCAGAACTTTTCGCATTTTAATGAATTTCAATATCTACTATTTTTATAAAATTTATAAACAGAACTCAATTGTTTAAAAAATTTGTTGTAAAAATCTTCGTAAGAATTCAATTTTTTTCATGAATAATATAAATTTCTCAGGAATTAAATTATTTAAATTAGAGTTTGCTTAAAATTAGTCGAAAGAAAGGAATTATTTAAAAAATTTTATAAAATTCTTGTCAAGAATTAAATTATTATTCTAAACATTTAAATTCTTTCATGAATTATAAAATTCGTTGCAGGAATTCAATTTATTAGCAGGATAAGAAAGAAGTAAAATAATATTTTTAATGAAAAGTACACTCAGAAAAAGAGTTGGCTGCCATAGCCAATTAAATAGTTGCTATAGCGCGATCCAATTAATTGGATGGGGCAACTATTTCTTGGTTGATACATCCAACTTTTTAGCTGCATTACCTTAGCTGCATTACATACATAGCTGGGGTACCTTTTCGCATGGAAACAGTATCCAATAGTTGGATGTGCTAACCAATTAATTGGATCGCGCTATAGCAACTATTTAATTGGTTATGGCAGCCAACTCTTTTTCTGAGTGTAGGAAAAAGTCTGTAAAATAAAAAATATGGATTTGAAATTTTTGTTAGTTTTGTGAAGTGTCTAAAACGAGGTTTTTTGGTCGTCAAGGTCAATTTTTCGATAGCTACTTTTTTACTACTTTTCTTAATTTAAAAGCTACTTCTTGCTACTTTTTTAGTTTGAAAGCTACTTTTTCAAAATTAATTATCGAGTGCAAAGTCTGTATTTTGCTACAAATCGAAATGTACTTTAACTAGAAAAAGTAACTTTAGGTTTAGATTTTGCACCCAGGCATCAGCACCCAGTTGATTTTTCCAAATTTTATATTGGTTTTCAAGTTGCAACAAAGGAAACATTTAACTTCAAATTTTATTTTTACAAATTAAGTGGGTGCAGTTTTGGATGACACCCAGCTATTACCTTCCACCTAGGTATCATCACCCAGATAATTTTTCAAAATTTCTCTTTTGTTTTCAAAAAAGAAATGTTTAACTTTAAAATTCATTTTGAAAAACTAAATGGATGATATTAACTGGATGCCACTTTCAGTTGGCACCCAAAGAATTTTATGAGGATATAAAATTATTTCTAAAAAACGAAATGACAAGAATTTTCCTGGACTCTTTTCTGTAAACATAACCCAGATAATTCTAGAAAGTGATTTATGCTGTCATTATTGATTTGTTTTTTAACATGACTCATTATTAGCAAACTTGTCTCTAAAAATCAGTGGAATGTAAATATCATGTTCACTTGGAAAATAATGTGACTTAAATCACTTAATTTACCATTCGAGCAATATAAAATGTATTACAAATATAAAATACAATCTAACCTTTTGGAGTTTACCTACTATGAATTCCACTATCATGTTTCGAGGCAAAGGTTCTGAGCGAATGTGCTTTGAATAAGAAAGTAAGATGGAAGGAGAGTACATAGAGAAGTGGCGTCGAAATTCTTAGAAAAGTAAATTTGAATCTCGCATCATATATATATATATACGAACATTCCGTGAGAAATTGAAAAAGAGGAATTATTTGTCCTGAATATTTTTCAGTATTAGAAATCAAAATTTTAGGTGTTTTATTATAGCGAAAAAATTACATTTTTAATTACAATTATTTGACACTGAATTTAACCCTTAAAGCTCATATTTTAGGAAATGTGCGCTTAAAGCGAACATTTTCTAAAATATGTGCTTTAAGGGTTAAGAAATATTCACTTTGGGTGTAATAAAAGATTAAATGAGAAAAATCTTATTGTTTGGCTGTAAATAGATGTCGGTGTAACTCCTGCCCTAAGGAGACGAAGAGAGAGAGCTGAGAGACAAAAAAGCTTTATCAGAGAGCAGCAGGAGGCGACAGCAAACATGAGAGCCTCTATAGGACACCCGGGTGATCAAGAAAGTAAGTCTTATTTCAGCATCGCACCATCGACTCATATCGCTCACGATGTATCCTGAATATAAAAAGCATTCGATTTATCCGAAAGCTTTTTCCCCCTCCTCTTCGTAAATCAATTCCATTTTGGTAGGAAAAAAAAATTCTTACACAATATCACTGTTTCTCATTTAAAACAATTTTTCTCTTTTCAAAGATCACAGACTATCATCTTATCATCTTTTTTCAACTACTTTAAAGTTTAAATTTTTGCACTCTTCATTTTCACCTATTTCAAAATATTTTTAATTTTAATACAATTAATTAAAACGATTCAATTATATTTTCACAAATTTTTCTTAATTCAATGACTTTTAATATTTAATACTTTAATAAAAAATTTCCCAAAAGAATTAAATAATTTTAAAAAAATGTTTATAAAATTCTTCGGAAACATTCAATTATTTTCTTAAATAAAATATTTTTACAGGAATTCAATTATTTATTCATTTAAAATAGAAGTTTCCTAATATTTATCGAAAAAAAATCAATTATTTGAATATATTTTTAGAAAATTTTTCGCAAGAAATCAATTATTTTTATAAACAATAAAATTCTTCTCAGGATTTCAATTATTTTTTAAAATTTTAATAATAATCGTCGCAGGAATTAAATTATTTTCAAAGGTAATGAAATTCTTCAGAGAAATTCAATTGTGTTGAAAAATTTAAATAAATTCTTGTCAAAAATTCAATTATCTTTGTAAATAATAAAATTCTTTTTCGAAATTCAATTATTTTCAAAAATATTAACAAATTTTTACACCAGAATTTCAATAATATTCAATTTTAATTTTTATTAAATTCCGGAAAAGAATTCGATTATTCTCACAAATTTTAGTAAAATTATTTCATACAATTCAATTAATTTCAACAATACTAACAAAATTTTTTTTTGACGGAAATCAATTATTTTAATAAATAATAAAATTCCTCGAAAGAATTTAATTGTGTTTACAAATTTTAATAAACTTCTTTTAAAGAATTCAATTATTTTCAATAATAATAAAATTCTTCGCAAGGAATTTAATTCTTTTTCTTAATTTTAATAAAATTCTTCGAAACAATATTCAATTATTTTCAGAAATGTTGATAACATTTTTCAAAATAATTCAATTAATTTCTATACAAATGTAATTAAATTCCTTGAAAAAACTCAAATACTTTTAACGAATTTTAATAAAATTCTTCAAACAATTCAATTTTTTAATTTTTTAAAAAATTTTAATAAAATTATTTGATAATTGATACAATTCAATTATTTTCATTACAATTTTTTTTTTAAATTCCTTGAAAGAATTTAATTATTCTCAATTCCTGCGAAGAATTTCTTTAAAAGTTTTTACATTAAAAAATAATTGTTTAACATTAAATAAAATTATTTGACACAATTCAATTATTTTCAATACAATTTTTTTTTAAATTCCTTGAAAGAATTTAATTGTTCTCAATTCCTACGAAGAATATCTTTAAAATTTTGCCAAATAATTAAATTCATTCAAGAAATTTAATTAAAAATGTATTGAGAATAATTATTAAATTCTAATAATGAATTTGATCGAAACTTTTTTATAATAATTGAATTCTTTTGAAGAATTTTCATAAGATTTTTAAGAATAATAATGGCATTTTTCGAGAAATTCATTTAAAATTGTATAAAAAATAATTGAAATCCTTTGTTGAGTTTTATTATTTACAAAGACAATTGAATTCCTGAGAAGAGTTTTATTATTTACAAACATAGGTAATTGAATTCTTGCGACGAATTTTATTAAATTTTCTTCAAATAATTAAATTTTTTAGTGGAATTTAATTAAAATAGTAGATATTGAAAATAATTTAATTTCACCGAAGATTTTCATTATTTGAAAAAATAATTGATTTCTTAGAAAAACTTTTCTTAACATTTTTAAAAATAATGGAATCGTTTCAAATAATTTAATTATTTTTATAAATATTTAAACTCATAGCAGGATTTTAATTATTTTTAATACAATTTTTAAATTAATTGCGTGAAAAATGCAACTATTCTTAAAACTTTTAATAAAATTCTTCAAAAGAATTAAATTATTTAAAAAATTTTTAATAAAATTCTTTAATAATAATTGAGTTGTTTTAAATATAATTTTAATAAAAAATATTTTGAAAGAATTCAATTATTTTCATAAATAATATGCAATTTTCAAAGAAATTCAATTATTTAAAATACAATTTTCATAAAATTTTTGGAAAAATATAATTTCATTAAAAAGTTTTTTTTTAAATTCTTCTTAAGAATACAATTTTTTAAAAACTTTATTAAAGTTCGGCGACAAAAATTTAATTATTTTCGTAAATAATAAAACTCATCGCAGGATTTCAATTATTATATATAATAATCGTCGTGATTCCAGATTTCCGGATCTCTGTCCACACTTGAAGTTAGTTATAGTTATTCTTTTGTTTTTTATACGTTTTGATAGAAAATAGAAATATACATATACATATACATACATTATAATAATCGTAAGTTTCCTTTCCGTTAGCACATTATCTGCATTCATTTGTTTGTTTTGAAAATTTAATTTTGCGGGTTAAGTATTGGCATTTTTTATATATTTTTTAATGTCAAACTTTTTAATGTGGCAAATACTTTACTTATTAAATTGTCTCGACTCTTTGGTAAAAAATCTGAAATTATCAAAATTCGAAAAATTTCAAAAATCAGTTTTTCTTAAAATTCAACATTTTTTCTTCTTTTTTATGGGATTTAGCTTCATTATTTTTGTGCTTTTGGAAAATACTTTACTTATTAAATTGTCTCGAGTCTTTGGTAAAAAATCTGAAATTATCAAAAATTCGAAAAAATTCAAAAATCCGATTTTTTTAAAATTCAACATTTTTTCTTCTTTTTTATGGGATTTAGCTTCATTATTTTTGTGCTTTTGGAAAATACTTTACTTATTTAATAGTCTCGACTCTTTGGTAAAAAATCTAAAATTATCAAAAATTCGAAAAAATTCAAAAATCCGAATTTCTTAAAATTCAACATTTTTTCCTCTCTTTTATGGGAATTAGCGTCATTATTTTTGTGCTTTTGGAAAATACTTTACTTATTAAATTGTCTCGAGTCTTTGGTAAAAAATCTAAAATTATCAAAAATTCGAAAAAATTCAAAAATCCGATTTTCTTAAAATTCAACATTTTTTCCTCTCTTTTATGGGATTTAGCTTCATTATTTTTGTGCTTTTGGAAAATACTTTACTTGTTAAATTGTCTCGACTCTTTGGAAAAAAAATAAAAAATTATTAAAAATTATCAAAAATCTGAAAAATTGAATTTCTTAAAATTCAACATTTTTTTTCTCTTTTATACCATTTAGCTTTATTATTATTTGAATTTTTATTCAAGAGAAAAAATGGAAAACTGAAAAAATTTAGAATTTTTTAAAAATTACAGGCCTTTTCCATGATTTCCCTGATTTCCAGAAGCCTTTTAAAAATTCCATACCATTTCCATGATTTCCATGATTTCCAGATTCTGTAGTAACCCTGCTTTTGTCTGACTTTCTTCTAAATTATCGAATTCAGTGATTTCTGGGGTAAATTTGGTTAAGTTGTAAAATGATTAATTTCTATTTGAATTCGTTTTTTTTGAATGTAGAAAATCTGATGTTAATTTAATTCTTTTTTCGTTATGCACGGCAAAAAATATTTAGCTGGATGAACTACAGATTTCACTTTAGTAGCGAAATTTTTCAGTGCTTCAATTAATACTTTCGTTATTCTAGAGAAACTTTTCGCTATTTCAAGTAAAACTTTTTTCAGTGTGTAATAATTATTATTTCTTTAAAAAGTATTTAATTTAAAATGGCTTTATAAAATAAGCAATGCAAAAGATGACCTAGATACTAATTGTAATTGTTCTAGCCATAGTTTAAGTCTAGTAATGTAAATTCTATTTAAATTGAGACCATTGAGTGAAATTATTTGAATTTTAGTTAGTTAAATCTCTTTGTTAGGTTATAATAATTATTTCTTTAAAATTTTTTAAATTGTTTAAAATAAGCAGCCCCATACAACATTCCCGCGCGCTTGCGCGCGGATAGTTTGGCTAGTTTTTATTATAATTTTAAATTAATTCCGCTAAAAACGCAATTATTCTTCAAAATTTGAATAAAATTCTTCGAAAAAATTCAATTATTTGAAAAAATTTAATATAATTTGTTTCTTAGAGTGTAATAATTATTTTCAATTCATTTTTAATTACAATTTTTGGAAGCATTTTAATTATTATCAAAAAATTTTAATGCATTTCCTCGTGAAAATTTAATTATTTTCGAAAATGTTGATAAAGTTCTTTATAAGAATTTAAATTTAAGAGAAATTCAATTATTCAATAAATTATCTCTTTTTGTATTTAAACAAATTGAATTTTCGTAGAAGTTTTTAATAAGAAATTTAGAATTTAATAAAATAAAATGATTAAAGTTTTGAATAATTTTATTTACAAATTTCAAGAAAAAAAATGAATGAATTTTGAAAGAATTAGTTTTTTAATTTTTAGAAATTTTTGTTAAACTTCAAAAATGCGTTAGATTTAAATCATTTGAAATATTTTGATTCCTGTAGACAAAAAAAATAGGTATTTAAATATTTATTTTAAAAAATTATTCTATTTTTCCTAGTAATTTAGAAATTATAAAAAAAAAATTGGGTCGTCAAGTTTATTTTTTCGATAGCTACTTTTTTACTACTTTTTTGTTTTTAAGCTACTTTTTGATACTCTTTTAAAATTAATTATCGGGTACGAAACCTGCCTTTTTTTAACTACTTAAAATTTTTGCATCTTTCATTTTCACCTAAATCACCAATTTTTAGAAAATATTCTACTATTGGAAATAGAAATAGAAGTAAATTGAAGAATCAGTATTTTTTTCTCTTCAAATACTTACGTATTTGAAGTAAAAAAAATACTGATTCTTCAATTTACTTCTATTTCTCAATTCGATTGAAATAGAAGATAAATTGTAAGCAATTATAACAATTTTTTTTTTGTCTAAACGAATAAATTTTCCAATTAATCAGGTCCTTTCACAACAAATGGTCTGCGATATACAAACGGTTCATCTTACGATAGAAATGTCGATTCACCCTCAAATAAATTATCGAGGGTAAATAGCAGAAAGGATATGACGCCTCTAATGAATGCGGCTAATAAATTAAATTCCGAAGAAAAGAAACCCTGGTATGGAAGGAGTCCGGATGAAGGTGTTGAATGTGACGATGACAATCAATCTGAAGACGATCAAGATCGTCGTGTAGTTTTGCAATTGAAAAGAGAAGGCACTGTGAAAGACTTAACGCAGAAACTTGCCGCTCAGAATTTAATTCCCAGTAGTCCTGTGGAGGAAAAAGTTGCCAGGTAATTATCATTAGCATCAGAAAATTAATAATTCTCGAGTAAAAAAAACTTTTTTCATTCATTCTTTAAAAAAAAAAAAAAAACATTATTTTTTTATTTCAGGATAGGAGATATGAGTGGTTTAATTTCAAAAGCGAAGGAAGGTCTAGCAAAATCGAAATCAAAGGCCGATATTGTAAAATCCCCGACGAATGATAATTTACCAAAATTAGCGGAAGTGAAAAAGTCTGAGAACGAACTTCATTGGGAGGAATTGATAAATAAATTGAAGAGGCCTCTCTGTCTTTGTGATTTAGACTTTACGGATCTCAATACGGACGATGAAATCGATGTTCTTGGTCCTGTTAATGTGACAAACGGAGTGCCACCGCCACCACCTCCAATGGTTCCACCTCCTGCGGGTTATCGTGCACCACCACCCCCGCCTCCTGGTGCACGAATTCCCCCACCTTTACCCAGTGGTGGTCCACCACCGATATTTGACGTTAATCTCCGTTCAACTCGAAATCACTCCACAGAATCTAACAATTTACCAAAAAGTCCGCCTCCAAATTTAACCAAAAAGAATAAGAAAACCGTGAAACTCTTTTGGAAGGAGGTCAGAGATGATCCCATTATTTTATCGAGACTCGATCAAAATAAAATGATATGGGACGAACTTTCGCCAATTCCAGTTGACACACAAAAATTGGAGCATCTCTTTGAAAGTAGAGCAAAGGATCTAATAACAAAGGTAAGAGATTTTTCTTTCTAAAATATTTGGTATTGGATTTGGGATCGGGACACGCGTCCACAACAAAATTAATAAACGTTATTAACTTGCTTTATTGGAACATGACACTAAACACTACTTTCACGCATTATATACTTTAGACACCTCTCTATTGGTATGGCAATAATGAAACAATTTAACACACTAATTATAATGGTAGTTCAAATAAATTCGTAGGAAAGAAAAATAAAAATTTATGACAATCTTGATAGTACTAAAATTTTCGGTAAGATTGCGGCAAGCTTACCATGCAATCTTTGCTAATTTCTAGATAGAAAAATAATAATTAAATATTTCTTCAAAAAAGAAGTTATCTTCTTCGCATTCATCTACTAAAACCTACTATTTACGACTTTTTTTACGTTATGCTATTATTTGGGTACTTTTTTTAGATTTCAGCCACTAAAAGCTACTATTTTTTTTTTTTTTTTTGAGAATTTACACTATTTTAAATTCGTTAATACTAGAAATCAAAAAACTATTCTTAAAAATTATAATCAAATTCTTTAAAAAGATTAAATTATTTTCGAAAAAGTATTCGAAATTCAATTATTTTCAAAAAATAGTCGAAATTCAATTATTTTCGAAAAATATTCGAAATTCAATTATTTTCAATAAATATTCGAAATTCAATTATTTTCAATATCTAGTATCTTCAAAAAATTTTGCAAAAGAATTCATAAAAATAAACTGATAAAATTCATCCAAAAATTAATTATTTTCCATAAACAATAAAATTTCCACAGGAATTCAATTAATTAAGAATGGCATTTTCAAAAAAATTTCGAAAAAAACAATTATTTAACAAAATTTGTATACAATTCTTCACAATAATTCAATTACTTTCACTAATAATAATATTTTTCATCGAAATTCAATTATTTAGAAAATTTTTTGATAAAACACTAAGCAAGAATTTAATTATTTTCATAAATAATAAAACTCATCGAAGAATTTCAATTTTATTTTTAATACTATTTTAAATTAATTAATCGAAAAATTCAATTATTTTCACAAATAAAATTTTCCACAAGAATTCAATTATTTAAAAGAACATTTTCATAATATTTATTATATTTCGAAAAAATTAATTATTCAAAACAATGTTTATAAAATTATTATAAAGAATTCAATTATTTTTAAAAATAACAAAATTTTTCACAGAAATTCAATTATTTTAAAACTCTTTAATAAAATTTTTCACAATAATTCAATTATTTTCATGAAGAATTGAAGAATAAAATTCTTTTTAGAAATTCAATTATATTTGAAAATTTTAATAAAATTCTTATTGCAACTATTCAATTATTTTCAAAAATAATAAAATTAATCGCAGTATTTCAATTATTTTTAATACTATTTCAAATTAATTTATGGAAAAATTGAATTATTTTCACAAATAAAGTTTTCCACAAGAATTCAATTATTTAAAATAATAAAATTTTCATAATATTTATTATTAATTCGAAAAAAATTAATTATTCAAAACAATATTTATAAAATTCTTATGAAGAATTAAATTATTTTTAAAAATAACAAAATTTTTCACAGAAATTCAATTCTTTTTAAACATTTTAATGTAATTAATAAATTTATTATTATAATAAATTTCTCTCAGGAATTCAATTATTTTTGAAGATTACAATATTATCAACTATTCAATTATTTTCATAAAAAATAAAATTCATCACAGGATTTCAATTGTTTTTAATACAATTTTATAAAAATTCCTCAAAAAATGCAATTATTCTTTAAAATTTAATTTCAATTCCTCGAAGAAATTAAATTATTTTAAAAAAAATGTTTTTTTAAATTCTTCGAAAGAATTCTATTATTTACAAAAATATTAGAATTTTTTATGAGAATTCAATTATTTTTAAATATTTTAATGAATTTGTTCGAAAGAAAAAATTATTTTAAATACAATTTTAATTAAATTTTTTGAAAATAATTCAATTCATCTTTTAGATTTTAATGAAATTCTTCCCAAGAAATCAATTATTTACATATAAATAATTCTTCGAAAGAATTCAATTATTAAAGATAAATAACAAAATTATTACCGAAAACTCAATTATTTTTAGGGATTTTAATAAAATTCTTTGCAAAATTCAATTATTTTTATATAAATAATAAAATGCTTTTTTAGGAATTCAATTAGTTTCAATAAAATTTAATAAAATACTACACAGATATTAAATTATTTTAAAAAATGTTGATAAAGTTCTTTATAAGAATTGAAATTTAAGAAATATTTAATTTTTCAGATAAATTATTTATTATTTAAATAATTGAATTCTCGTAGACGTTTCTAATAAGAATTGATTTAAAATTGAATAAAATAAAATGATTAAAGTTTTGAATAATTTTATTTATAAATTTCACGAAAAAAATGATTGAATATTGAAAGAATGACTTTTGTAATTTTGAGAAATAGTTAAATTTCAAAAATTCGTTACATTGAAATAATTTGAAATATTTAAATTCCCGTGAAAAAAATAAATTGGTATTTAAATATTTATTTTAAAAAATTATTCTGTTTTTGAATGTAATTAAGAAATTATAAAAAATTGAGTCAAGTTTAATTTTTCGATAGCTTTATTTTTACAACTTTTTTTCTGTCTTTATGCCACTTTTTGCTACTTTATTAAAATTAATTATCGAGTACGAAGCCTGGAAAGGACATTTGATCTAAAAACTATAGAACACTCGACTCGATTATCAAAATTTACGTTTTAGTGCGAGTGCAATACTAATAGTGTCAGTGATGCCAAATAACTGTCACATAAATCTTCCACGTGGTAAAACAAATGAACGCGTCTATGGAAGCACATGAAAACGAAACGCAAAATATTACGTAAATGAATATATATATACAAAATAGAAAAATATTTCGTCCACGTATTTTTTGTTTTTAAAAGATTATAACTTCCTAGTTCCAAATTCCATAATATCGAATCTTTAGTCTCTAAAAAGATAAATATTAATAATACAATAATTTATGAGGCGATAAATTTTGTCACGCGCAAGAATCAATTTGCTCTGAGATTATAAATAATCAATACATCAGAACTGTCAGTTGCTACAAAACCTATTTGTTTTCTTTTGAATTAATATCATAATCTTGCCAAACAGATTAACTTTGTGAATTTAGTGTTACTTTGTTACTTATCGTTGGCTAGAAGCGTAATTATCGCTACCAGGCGAAAAAAGGCTTTTTTTTTTAAAACACGTATTCAATTCTTCAAGTAATTTATAAGTTTGCAGGGAACTTGCAGTACAAGCTCAGGACAATTATTATTATTATTCTATTCCTTTAATGTTTCCTTTAATTATAATTGTTATTAATAATAATGATAATAATAATAAAAATAATAATTTTAATATTATTATTATTGTAAACAACCATTTCTGTCAGTAGAAATAATTGAAGTAAACAACAACTTGTTAACTTGTTGCATCGTTAAAAGAAATAAAAATGCTTTAAAAAATAAAGGTGCATCCAATTTATGACAGAATATACGGAAATACCAAAGACGAGTAAAAGAGATCATCCCCTTTTATATCTAGTCATCGCTGATGCGTGGCTCGTCTAACAAGCAATGTACCTTTGTGTGTTCGGGCTTCTGAGAGGCGATGCAGCTCATACTATGATGGAATTTCCGCACAATAAAACATTTCACCGCTTCACACGTTTCCATTGTGAAACGAAATTTGAATAGTTTTATTTTTCCCCGCTGTTGCGTATAGTTTCACGACAAAAGAGAACACTTTTCTTTTAGTGATAGTCAATTTTTTTTCTCAAATTTATGAAAAAAAGAAAAAAATCGTTTCTCCATGTTATCAAAAAACTCGACTTTTTGATCTTTGATTATTTTTTTTAAATGGTTTTTTTCCCAAACTGCAAATAAGAGACGCAAGGTCTTATCAAAACATCAACAGACTTCGCACTCGATAATTAATTTTAAAAAAGTAGCTAAAATTAGCTTTCAAACTAAAAAAAAAAAAAAATAGTAAAAAGAAGCTTTTAAATTAAGAAAAGTAGTAAAAAAGTAGCTATCGAAAAATTGCTCTTGACGACAAAAAACTTTGTTTTAGACACTTCTCAAAACTGACAAAAATTACAAATCCATATTTTTTATTTTCGTGGCTTTTTCCTAATTTTCATCAAAAATATTATTTTACTTCTTTCTTATCCAGCTAATAAATTGAATTCCTGCAACGAATTTTATAATTCATGAAAGAATTTAAATATTTAGAAAAATAATTTAATTCTTACCAAGAATTTTATAAAATTTTTTTAAATAATTCCTTACTTTCGACTAATTTTAAGCAAACTCTAATTTAAATAATTTAATTTCTGAGAAATTTATATTATTCATGAAAAGAATTGAATTCTTACGAAGATTTTTACAACAAATTTTTTGAACAATTGAATTCTGTTAATAAATTTATATTTATTATTTAATATATGTAAATATATAAATAATTGAATTCTTAAGAAGAATTTTATTAAAATCTAAAAGAATCTAAAAGAATAATTGAATTATTTTTAAAAAATTTAATTTAACTTTTGTATTTAAAATATATTAATTTCTTTTGAACAATTATATTAAAATATTTGAAAATAATTGAATTCCCGTGAAAATTTTAATCTTTTTTTATTAAAATTAATTATTTTTTTAAATAATTGATTTTTTCAAGGAATTGAAATTAATTTTTTAAGAATAATTTCATTTTTTGAGCAATTCCTGTAAAATTGTATTAAAAATAAATAATTAAAATCCTGCGATGAATTTTATTATTTTTGAATATAATTGAATAGTTGCAATGAATTTTATTAAAATTTTCGATAATAATTGAAATCCTTCAAAGAATTTTATTTGAATTTTTATGAATAGTTGCATTTTTCGAGAAATTTATTTAAAATTGTATTAAAATTAATTAACATCCTCCGATTAGTTTTAATATTTATAAAAATAATTGAACTCTTGCAACAATTTTAATTAAAGCTAGCAAATGTTACGCAATATTAATTTCACTTTTGTAATAATTTCAAATAGAAAATTAAAAAAATTCAATTATTAACTAATTTCCTAATTAATTGTTATTATTTTATTGTTTTTAAAAAGATTGATAAAATTTTTTAAAAAAATTCAATTATTTTTAAAAATTTGCAAAAATTACTCGAAAAAATTTAATTATTTTGAAAAATTTGGATTAAATTCCTAGCAGGATTTTAATTATTTTCATAATTAATATAATTATTTGCAGAAATCTAATTATTTTAAAGAATTTTAATAAAATTCTTCGCAAAAATTTTATTACTTTGAAAAGTATCAATAAAATTCTTTATGAGGAAAAAAATTTAATTAAATACTTTGACAAAATTTAATTCTTCTCCTAAGAAGCGGAAAATAAAATTCTTGGTAGAAATTCAATTATTTTGATTTATTACTAAAAATTCTTAACAAGTTTTCATTTATTTTCATAATTAATAACATTTCTCGAAAGAATTAAATTATTTAATCAAATGTCAATTACAACATACTACGCAGAAATTGAATTACTTTTAAAAATTTTGATTAAACTCTTTAAAAATTTAAAGATTTTTTACTTTATTTTAATTACATTTCTCGTCAGAATTAACTTATTTTGAAAGATTTTCATTACCTACATTTTTCGTAACAAATTTAATTATTTTGAAAAATATGGATAAATTTCTTTATAAGAATGCATTTATTTACAGATTCAAATCTATAAGAAAAATAATGTTAAGAAATATTTTTAATCGAAAACAATTTGATTTAATTAATTTTTGGAATTTTTGAAACTTCAAAGTCATTAAATTAGAATTTCATTAATTTTAAAATTCGAATTTTGGAAAAGAATTTTATTATTTACAAAGATAATTGAATTTTTGACAATAATTTATTTAAATTTTTCAACATAATTGAATTTCTGCGAAGAATTTTATTACTTTTAAAAATAATTGAATTTTTGCAACGATTATTATTAAAATTTTAAAAAATAATTTATTCTTGCGAAGAATTTTATAAACATCTATTTAAATACTTGATTTTTATCGAAAAATATTAGTAAAATTCTGTTCTAAATAATTGAATTCCTGTGAAATTTTTTTTATTTATGAAAATAATTGAATATTTGCGAAGAATTTTATAAACAAAATTTTTTCAAATTATTCAATTCGTTTGGGAAATTTTCTATTAAAATAGTAGATATTAAAAATCATTGAATTAGAAAAAAGTTGTGAAAATAATTGAATCGTTCAAAAAAATTTTATTTAAATTTAAAAAAAATTTTTTTTTTTTTATTTTCCATTGACTTTATTAAAATTTTTTTAAATAATTTTTTTTTTCAACTGTTAACAAATTGAAAATTGTGTAAATTCTCAAACATGGAAAAAAGTAGCTTTTAGGGAAACAAATAAAAAAAAGTATCCAAATAGTAGCAAATCGTGAAAAAAAAAAGTAGTAAATAGTAGATTTTAGTAAATGAGTGCGTGGCCTGCCTTTCTAATTAATTAATTTCGATATTCGTAAAAATAATTGACTCTCTTTAAATTCTTGATGATAATTAAAAATTCGTAACGTTATTAGAAATGACAATTAAATTAATTTAATGAATAAATTAAATTACTTATTAATAAAATTAAAATAAATAATTATAAATAACAATTATAATTACAGTACAATTGTAGTATAATTATAGTTACCATATTACAAACTGTTTTTCGTATTTGCGGTATTTTTCTAAGCCTAAAAGTATAGGGTATTAAAATACGAGTTTTAATCACTCGATTAAATGCAATTTAAAGAAAACAAGTATTTGGTAAAAAAAAATAATTAATTTTGTTTACCAATTATAAATTTTAGCTTTACATCAACCACTGTCATTAAAGCTAAACCACAATTTCTTTCACTGCGTACATGTCACATTTGAAAGCACTATATATATTTTGGGAATGGGAATAATGGTCATGCGGTTCATAAATAACCACATCGGTAAATTGATTGCTAAATGCAATTTGCGGTTGAGGGAATCATATTAATCGCAATAATAGTTACATTAATGATACTATTACCACCGTTTTGAATTACTGGTCTTTATAGTAATTACGGCAATTAGATGTATAAATAATTATTAATGTATTTAATTACTATAATCGACTAATGAGGTGATTAGATGGTGATGGTTAACTGCAAAAAAAAAAAACTAATTTTAATTTTTTGTATTCTTTGCAATATTTTTGGTGCTCGCACGCAATCAACAAAATGGCATGCTGGAATTTTACAGGAGGTGAGTTTTCATATCTTAACTTCTTGCTGCGACTAACATGTTATTAGCTTTCAAAAAAAAGCCATTTTTTTTTAATTTTTCTTTTAAAATCGTAGAAAAATTTTTGAAACTAAGGAAAGCATGTTGTACGTTCATCGTCGATCCATTTTCGATTCATTGTAATTCGTAAATCTTTAGTTATATTTTTCGACTTCTTAAGTTCTTATTATTAATGGTGGAAGTTAATTTTAATGCTTTCTAACTGCTTTTGGTATTTTTTCGGTATGCTGCTATTGTCTTAATGATAAAATTAACAAATTCAAAAATGACCACTTTTGATGAAATTTTGATGTTTTTTATTTTTATGGTTTTTCAATTTTTTTTTATTTTCGAATGTAGAAACAACAGGAAATGAACAAGAATAAAGAGATTATCGTATTGGATCACAAGAGATCGAATGCGATTAATATTGGAATGACAAAACTGCCACCACCGAGATCAATCAAGACTGCTATTTTGAAAATGGATGCTACAATTATGAATCGAGAGGGCATTGAAAAGCTTCTTACTATGTTACCAACGGAAGAGGAAAGATCGAGGATACAAGAGGCGCAGGCCGCCAATCCAGACCTTCCTCTAGGATCTGCCGAGCAGTTCCTTCTTACTTTAGCTTCTATTTCTGAATTGACCGCAAGACTGAAACTATGGGCCTTTAAGCTCGATTTCGAAAATTCGGAAAAGGTTTGTTTTGGATTTTCTTTTTTTTTCCAAATACTAGACAAGATTTTGTGTGGTGAAAAATTTTACAAGTATCTTTCTTTAAATGGAATTTTTGACTCTTTATTATGAATCTGAGATTTAAATTCTAAATCAAAAAAATTGTAACCATTTTTTTTTTTTTTTGACAAAAAACAAGAAATTTTATTTATTCTTTTCTTAATCAGGGATGAATAATATCAGGGTTTCCACAGGCCAGGAAAAAGTCAGGGATTTTTATTAAAAGTAGTGGAAAGAATTAAATGTTTAGAATTTATAAGAAAAATCTGAATTTTTTGCGAATTTTTTGTTTTTTCTCATAAACTATGAAACTATCATGAATTCTAATAAAAAACATTCAAAAATTTTTTTCTATTTCCAACAAGAATAAATTTTTTAATATTATTTAATTATTTCAAAACTTTTAACGCAGTTATTTTGATAAATAACAAAATTTCTTCACAGAAATTCAATTATTTTTAGGAATTTTAATAAAATTCATTGTAAAATTTAATTATTTTCAAATTTCATTTATATAATAACAATATTCATCATAGGAATTCAATTATTTTCAAAATTAATAAAATTCTTCGACAGATATTCAATTATTTTCAAAAATGTTTTAAAAATTCTCGTCAAAATTTTAATTGTCTTTATAAAAAGCAAAATCTTCGACAAAATTCAATTATATTCAGGAATTTTTATAAAATTCATTGTAAAATTCAATTATTTTCAATTTTCAGAAATATTAATAATATTCAACATAAGAATTCAATTATTTTCAAAATTAATAAAATTCTTCGACAAAATTCAATTATTTTCAAAAATTTTAATAAAATTCATGGCAAAATTTCAATTATTAAACAAAAATTTTGACAATATTTTACACGAACATTTAATTATTTTCCAAACAAATAAAAATTTTTCATTAAATTCTTCGCAGCAATTTTAAAATTATTTTCAGGGATTAAAATAATTTTATCAATAATAAAATCATTCGAAGGAAGTCAATTATTTTCATAAGTAACAATATTTATCACAAGAATTCAATTATTTTCAAAAATATTAAATTTCTTCACAGAAATTCAATTATTTTCAAAGAATGCAAAAAGAAATTGTCGTCAACGTTTCAATTATCTTTATAATTGATAATTGAATAGCAAAATTCTTCGACAAAATTCAATTATTTTCAGGAATTGTAAAATTCATTGCAAAATTCGATTGTTTTGAATAAATAATAAGTATTCAACATAAGAATTCAATTATTTTTAAAAGTAATAAAATTCACTTGATTTTAAAAATTTTAATAAAATTCATGGCATAATTTCAATTATTTTCAAAAAAATCAAATGTTTTAAAATTTGGCATTAAATTCTTCGCAGTAATTCAATTATTTTCATAAGTTTTAAAATTCTTTACCGGGATTTAATTATTTTTATAAATAATAAAATCATTCAAAGGAAGTCAATTATTTTCATAAATAACAACATTGATCACAAGAATTCAATTATTTTCATCGAATTCCTCGAAAAATGTAATTATTCTTAAAATTGGTATTAAAATTCGTCGAAAGAATTCAATTATTTTTAAAAATTTTGATAAATTTCTTTATAAGAATTCAATTTTAAGAAACATTTAATTATTCATTGAATTATTTATTTTTGAATTTAAATAATTGAGTTGTAGAATTTTCTAATACAAATTTTTTTACAAATGAATTTTAGTTAAAGTTTTAGACAATAATTTAATTATTTCTAGTTTTTATTTTCTAATGTATATTTAATTGAAGAATGTTCGAATAAATCAATAAATTGAAATTTTACGTAAAATCGAATTGTAAACAAATGGATTTAAAAATTAGCAAAGAAGAACTTTTTCAAAAATTATTAAAAATAATTGATTTAAAGAAGAATTTTATTTAAAAAATGTAAAAAATAATAATTGAATAACAATTGAAAAAATTGGAATTTTTTTTTGAAATTATTTGATGTTTTTATTTTCTAATGTATAATTAATTGAAGAATTTTCAAATAATCGAAATTGTAAACAAATGAATTTGAAAATTCTCAAAAGAACTTTATCATAAATTATTAAAAATAATTGATTTAATGAAGAATTTTATTTAAAAATTTGAGAAAATACTAATTGAATTGAAACGATGAAAATAATTTTAAAGAAGTTACAGTAGAACATTTTTTTAGCATCTAATTATTTTTAAAGTGAATCAGAATATTCTTCAGGACGAGGGAAAAAGTCAAAATTTTATCTGGAAATCAGGAAAAAGTCAGGAAAAAGTCAAACGAAATTTGTAATTAATTATTTCTACTGCGACGTTTTGAAAATGATTTTTTTTTCTCAGAACCACATCATCCAAAAGTTACGTTTTACATAATACCCAGAAAGAATTTTAATTTTATTTCATCTCTAACAAAAATTGAATCGAAAATTGATATTTTCATTATTCAGAAGGTTATACATTAGATGTTTGAATTTTATTTTTCGATCACTAAAGTGGCAAACCGATGGAATTAGAAACTAGTAAGAGGTAAACGAAATTCGAACGTGACATAATTTTCGCATAATTTCATGATGCTAGAAAACGCGTTATGAATTTTGAATACACAGGGTTATTCTTGGGAATTATAAAAATTTTGTTTTCACGTTGAAACTAGTATATATCTGCGTGTGGGGTTGCATTTTTTCGAGTGAAAAGTAAATACAAAAATATGTGATGAGAATGTAAAATTTTGGTGACTAGAGAAGATATATATATATGGTTTATGGAATGCAAGAAAAACGAAATGAAGTAAATTGCAAAAGGCTGACATTTGTGACTTACAGGAAATTGCCGACCCTTTGATGGATTTGAAGCAGGGAATGGAGACACTGAGAGTGAATAAAACTTTTCGCGGAATTCTGAGCACGCTTCTCTCAATCGGGATATTCCTCAACGGAAATGAGGTGGGTATTGAAAGTCTACAAATTATATCCGTATAATCTGTCTTGTGAGGATATATTCTCAATGGGTTTAATTTTACAAAGATATCAATCGCGAATTGACTATTATTCATTGCTATCATTTATGAAATTTGTAGAAATACTTTTCTTCAAAATCAAAAATATTCTTGATTTTTCAGCAAACTAAATTCATAACTATCGATTCATATTAGATTTACTAAATGATTTATTAATTTATTAATTAACAGTTCTTAATTTACGAAAACGAAATAATGCACTTTAGGTAAAAGGATTTCAATTAGAGTATCTTACGAAAGTACCTGAAGTCAAGGATACGGTTCACAAACACTCTTTGCTTCATCATCTTTGCCATATGGTAATGGAAAAGTTTCCAGATTCCACAGATCTCTATTCAGAGGTACGCATTTAAATGTTAAAAAGTTTGCAATGCGAAAAGTTTGTAAACGAGTCGGAATTTTCTATAAAGTGAAAATTCAGACTATAAAGTCTTGTTATATGGACGGAAAAAAAGGTAAAATTTTTATTGTTACTCTCTAGATTGGGGCTGTCACCAGAGCATCGAAAATCGACTTTGATGAGCTTGCTTCAAATATTTTCAAACTAGAAAGCGAGTGCAAAGCGTCTTGGGATCATTTGAAATTAATTGCCAAACATGACGGATCCACGATGATGAAAGTCAAGTAAGTACATGAATAGAAATAAAAGTAACTAAAATAATTAGTAAAAATAAAAAATTAATAATCGAATAATAAAATTAACGAAAAATTAAAATATAGAACAAAAATTTTTGGTATTAAATTCTAAATATTTCCCTTCTGCTTTCAGAATGTCGGATTTTCTTGCTGATTGCGCGGAGAGAATTATCGTTCTCAGTATTGTCCACAGACGTATTATAAATCGTTTCCACAAGTTTGTCCTCTGGTTGGGGATACCATTGCATCGGGTTCAAGATTCAAAACCGAATGAATTTTGTAGAATTGTTTCAGAATTTGCTCTCGAGTATAGAACGACGCGAGAGCGTGTGATACAACAGCTAGAGAAAAAGGCCAATCATAGGGAGAGAAATAAGACGAGAGGAAAAATGATCACTGAGGTATTTTCAAAAAAATTATAATCAAATTCTTTAATGCGATTCAATTATTTTCCAAAAAAAAGTATTTGAAATTCAATTATTTTCAAAAAAATATTCGAAATTCAATTATTTTCGAAAAATTATTCGAAATTCAATTATTTTCAAAAAAATATTCGAAATTCAATTATTTTCAATATCTATAGTATTTTCATAAAATTTCGCTAAAAAAAATTCAATTATTTAACAAGAAATTGATAAAATTCATCAAAAATTCAATTATTCTCATAAATAATAAAATTTCAACAGGAATTCAATTAATTTAGAATAGCATTTTCAAAAAAATTTCGAAAAAATCAATTATTTAACAAAAATTTGTACACAATTCTTCACAATAATTCAATTACTTTCACTAATAATAATATTTTCAATCGAAATTCAATTTTTTAAAAAAAATTTTTGTCAAAATTCTAAGCAAGGAATCAATTATTTTCATAAATGTAATAAAACTCATTTAAGAATTTTAATTATTTTTAATGCTATTTTAAATTAATTAATCGAAAAATTCAATTATTTTCATAAATAAAGTTTTCCACACAAATTCAATTATTTAAAATAAAATTTTCATATTCATTATATTTTGAAAAATAATAATTATTTAGAATAATGTTTATAAAATTCTTATGAAGAATTCAATTATTATTTCTTTGGAACTATTCAATTATTTTCATAAATAATAAAATTTATTGCAGGATTTCATATATTTTTAATCCAATTGTACAGGAATTGCTCAAAAAAAATAATTATTCTTTAAAATTCAATTTTAATTTCTCGAAAAAATCAATTATTTAAAAAAAATGTTTTTTTTAAATTCTGTGGAAGAATTCAATTATTTACAAAAATATTAGAATTTTTCACCGGAATTCTATTATTTTCAAATATTTTAATAAAATTGTTCGAATGAAATCAATTATTTTAAATACAATGTTTATAAAATTCTTCTAAAGAATTCAATGATTTTAAAAAAAAACAAATTTTTCACAGAAATTAAATTCTTTTTTAACATTTTAATAACATTTTTCTCAATAATTCAGTTATTTTTGAAAATTACAATATTATAAACTATTCAATTATTTTTATAAATAATAAAATTCATTTCAGGATTTCAATTATTTTTAATACAATTTTACAGGAATTGCTCAAAAAATGTAATTATTCTTAAAAATTTAATTTCAATTCCTAGGAAAAATCAATTATTTAAAAAAAGGTTTTTTTAAATTCTTTGGGAGAATTCAATTATTTACAAAAATATAAGAATTTTTCACAGGAATTCAATTATTTTCATAAATAAAATTTTCAACAATAATTCAGTTATTTAAAATAAAATTTTCATAATATTTATTATGTTTTGAACAAAATTAATTATTTAAAACAATGTTTACAAAATTCTTATGAAGAATTCAATTATTATTTTCAAATATTTTAATAAAATTGTTCGAAAGAAATCAATTATTTTAAAATTTCAATACAATTTTAATGAAATATTTTTGAAATAATTCAATTATTCTTTTAGATTTTAATAAAATTCTTTACAAGAATTCAATTATTTTCATAAATAATTCTTTTCAAACATTCAATTATTTACATAAATAATTGTTCGAAAAAATTCAATTATGTTAATAAATAAAAAAATTATTCCCGAAAATCCAATTATATTCAGGAATTTTTATAAAATTTAATTATTTCCATAAATAACAATATTCATCACAAGAATTTAATATTTTTAAAAATTAATCAAATTCTTTGCAAGAATTTAATTATTTTCATAAATAAATAAAATGCTTTTTAGGAATTCAATTATTTTAAAAAAAATTTTATAAAATGCCACACAGACATTCAATTATTCTCAAAAATTTGAATAGGATTCTTTGTAAAATTGAATTATTTTTAAAAACATTTTGCAATTCAATGATTTTCAAAATTTACTATTTTCATAAAATTTCCAAACAGAATTCAATTATTTAAAAAATTGTTTGTAAAAATCTTCGAAAGAATTCAATTCTTTTTATGAATAATAAAACTTTCTCAGGAATTAAATTATTTAAATTAGAGTTTGAATAAAATTAGAATTGTTAGAAACTATTGTCGATAAATCCTTATTAGCTCTCATAATACTATCAAAGTATTTTTTTACACAAATTTTTCTTTAAGCATGTAAGGGAAAAATTATTGTATTTTTTCTAAACATACATTTCTTTAAGCATGTGAGGGGAAAATTGATTCTTGAATTAATTGATTATTGTCCGATTTTTAATGCATAAAAATAATATTTTTGTCGCAGGTCGGAAAGTTTAGAACGAAAGAGGACAGAGCTGATGCGGAACTCAGGCAATTACTTGGTAGCGATATTTCCGATGTTGAGAGTCTACATGGAACACTTCCCTGGAGAAGACAGAGAAAAGAAGGTAAGTCCTTGAAAACCTCACTCTCTTAATTTTTCATTAGAATTAAATACCAAAAAGGTGGTTGGTACTGTTGACATTCAATTGTAATCGAAAATAAATTTTTCAAAGTACTCTACATTTTGGAGAAACAGTAAAATTTTATATCCTCTTAAAATTATGTACAATCCGTGGGAACAAGTGTGTTTCTTTTTTACTCATAAAGTCTTTATCCATATAGTAACACCGTCGCTATATGTTCCGCTCGTAAATTAAACGAGCATATACAGAAGCATAAAAATGACATAAAATATCCCATGTTCTTCCCAACCCTGCATTTCATATCACATTTTTTTTTTTTTTTTTTTTTTTGAGATGCAGGTTATGAATTAGATGAGGAGGATTTCGACGAGACACATAAGAAACAAGTAGCTCAAGTATAATATATTCCCTTTATAATGTTTCTGGAATAAAATTAGAAAATTAAATTACTTTATTAGAATATTTTGCAATTTTCAATAAATTAATTTATTCTAGTTATTATAATATTTATAATAGTTAATAATATGCAAATTGCAAAATGAGTCATCTTTCAAAATGAACTTTGACTTGAAAGCGTATAGATAGAGATTTAGATTGGATATTCATACAGATTGTTGAATATAGTGCACGTAGGTCGACGAATATTTCTCAAAATTAATATTTCAAAGCCTGCGGGCGAATCTTCCTGAGATCATCTTTGAATTAAATCCTTGCTTGTTGCGTTGTATTATATAAGGCTACAAAAAGTCTCCTTTATTCCCGTCATATTGGCATTTGCACGAACTATACAATAGAGAATGAAATGCAAAAGCGGAAAATCAAAAACAGAAGTCGTACCAGTCTTGTTTGCTACGTTTGAGAAAATACATGAAAGACCACAATCGAGAAAGAGAATGAGTTCAAGAACTAGAATTTCGAGTATTTCATTAAGCAAGAGAATTTTAGTTTTCTATCGAGTATTTCCGTCACTTGCTTCGCGAGTAAAGGCAAAAAACAAAAAATCAAAAGTTCATTATTAAGATCATTGATTTCTATTTTGTGGGAAAAATTTTATTTATTTGAATTTATGTGACTGATAAGACAGACGAAAAAAAATATTGATTTATAAGTCAGTATTGTAAGTCAGATTTTTTTTTATAAAGATCCGTAAAGTTCGTAATTTGATTGAAAAAGGACGAAAAGTTCGTAAATTGTACGACATAATTTGGAGAATTTTAGAGAAATTACAAATGATTGTAGAAATTCAATTATTTTCAAAAGTAATAAAATTCTTCGCTAAAATTCAATTATGTTCAAAAATTTTTTTAAATTCTCGTCAAAATTTCAATTATCTTTATAAATAATAAAATTCTTTTCCGAAATTCAATTATTTTCAAACATTTCAATTTTCAATACAATTGTTAAGAAAATTTCAATTATTTAAAAAAATTTTCCTCAATTCAATAGTTTTCAATATCTAAACTATTTTAATAAAGTTTTCCAAAAGAAATCATTTATTTAAAACAATTTAATAACATTCTACGTAAACATTTAAATATTTTCACATAAATAATCAAAATTTCAGAGAAATTCAATTATTTTCATAAATATTAAAATTCTTCTCAGGAATTCAATTATTTTTGAAAGTTTTAATAAAATTCTTTGCAACTATTCAATTATTTTCATAAATAATAAAACTCATTGCAGAATTTCAATTATTTTTAATACAATTTTAATTTCAATTCTGTTAAAATTGGTTGAATTTTTCAATATGTATTTAATATTATTTCTAAAATTTTAACGTAATTCTTAGAAAGAAATCAATTATTCTCTTGATAAATATCAAAATTCTTCACAGAAATTCAATTGTTTTCAAGAATCTTAACAAAATTTTTTGTAAAATTAAATTATTTTCATAAAATAAAAAAAATTTCACATTAATTCAATTATTTACAAAAATTTTCCTTAATTCAATGATTTTCAATATCTACTATTTTAATAAAATTTTCCAAAAGAATTCAATTATTTAAACAAATTTTTAATAAAATTCTACGCAAACATTTAATTATTTTCATAAATAATAAAAATTTACCAGGATTTCGATTATTAACAAATTTTTTATAAATTTCTTCGCAATAATTCAATTATTTTGCCATAAATAATAAAATTTTCACAGGCATTCAATTACTTTTGAAAATAATAAATTTCTTTTTAGAAATTCAATTATTTTTATAAATAATTAAATTCATTGCAGAATTGCAATTATTTTTATGTAATACAATTTTTATCGAATTCCTCGAAAAAATGAAATTATTCTTAAAAATGTTATTACAATTTGTCAAAAAGAATTCAATTATTTAAAAATTTATTGACAAAATTCTTTATGCGAATTCAATTTTAAGAAACAATCAATTATTCAATAAATTATTTAATTTTGTATTTAAATAATTATCGTAAAATAAAAAAAAATTAAATAAATACTTGTAGAATTTTCTGTTAAAAATTGATTTAAAAATGAATATATAAATGAATAAAAAAAAATTTAATTTTGGAGAAGTTACAAATTATTGGAGAAATTTAATTATTTTCGAGAGTAAAAAATTTCAATTATTTTTTATACAATTTAAATTGAATCCTCTAAGAATATAATTATTTTTTTTAAATTTTATTAAAATTCTTCCAAAGAATTAAATTACTTAAAAATTTATTAATAAAATTTAATTATATTTATAAATAATTAAATTCTTCTCTGAAATTCAATTATTTTCAAAAATTTAAATAAAATTCTTCGCAAAATTTCAATTATTTTCAAAAATAATGAAATTTTTGTCAAAATTTTAATTATTTTCAAAACTAATAAAATTCTTTGCAGAAATTCAATTATGTCCAAAAATTTTCATAAAATTCTTGTCAAAATTTCAATTATCTTTAGAAATAATGAAATTCTCCTGTGAAATTCAATTATTTTCAAAAATTTAAATGAAATTCTTGTCAAAATTTCAATTATGTCCAAAAATTTTTATAAAGTTCATGTCAAAATTTCAATTTGATATTCATGTCAAAAATTCAATTATTTTCAAAAATAATAAAATTCTTCGCAGAAATTAAATTATTTTCAAAAATTTAATTGAAATTCTTGTCAAAATTTCAATTATTTTAAAAAATAATTAGATTTTTCTCCGACATTTAATTATTTTCCGGAAATTTAAATAAAATTCTTGGCAAAATTTCAATTATTTTCAAGAATTTTCCTTAATTCAATGATTTTTATATCTACTATTTTAATAAAAATTTCCAAAAGCATTCAATTAATTAAAAAAAAATTAAAATTCTACGCAAGGATTTAATTATTTGCATTAATATTAAAATTTTCACAGGAATTAAATTTTTTACAAATTTTTTGTAAATTTCTTAGCAAAAAGTCAATTACTTTCATAAATAATATTTTTTACAGTGATACAATTATTTTTCTAAATAATAAAATTCTTTTTAGGAATTCAATTATTTAAAAAAGTTTTAATAAAATTTCTCGAAAAATGTAATTATTCTTAATTATCACTGAGCCATTTTTTATTATTATAAAACATGATGAAATCAAGCACTCCGAGTCGAAGACTCGGAGTGATCGATATCTTCATGTTTTATATTTATGAAAAATTTAATTTATAGTTTTAAGTATTTTATAAATATTCTCTTATTTGATTCGGACTGGTTATATTTTTGTCAATAATTGGTTCGTAAATGGACCGTAATTTTTAATTTTTGGTCCGTAAAGTCCGTATTTTTAAATAATAATTAAATAAAATAATTTTAGTATCAAGAGAAAATAAAAATTCTTTTTCCTATTTTCATTGCAGGTCGTACGTCATTGGGTCCATTGTTGAGGGATGAAACAACAAATGGGAACTTGACAGATGGAGACGACGAATTGCTCGAATGTCTGGTAAAAACAGCTACTAAGTCACCTGCAACTCGGACAGCGCCGAGGGAACGCAAAAGAACTCGTCACGCCGATCGTAAGTCTTGTAAGTGAAATCTCCGCACCCTGCACCAAGTTCTCTATCTCCATTTTTTTTTCTCATCGTCACCATTCAATTAGTTTTCAATTTTTTCTTCTTCTCTGAAAAGAAGGACTTTTAGTTTTTCTTTTCCTTTCTTTTTGTATATTCACAACACAAAGGTTCGCGAGATTTTCGCTATATTCCTCTGCCTCTGATCGGAAGTCTGAAATTTCAAGTGAAAAATAAATAATCGATTTTAGATTTTTAGATGAAAATTTACTGCGCGCCTTGCGGTAAAAGGAAATCTCGTATTCAGGGTAGTTAAGAACCTTTGAGTTGTGAAGGGTGAGGATGAGAACGATGGGGATAAGAACGCATCTGTCGCCTAAAATCGAAGTTTACTACTTAGACGTGGAGATCGAGATTCGAAATCCTCTCCCGCATTTTGTCATCTCTTTTTTTTTGCACCTTATTTGCACAAATTTCTTATAATTTTTGTAGTTGTACTTTGGGTCTGTATAGAAGGTGAATTTTATTTCTCAGGGTTGCCACAGGTCAGGAAAAAGTCAGGGAAAAATTGAATTATGTTCAAAATTTTTTTTTAAATTCTCTTCAAAATTTCAAGTATCTTTATAGATAATAAAATTCTTCTCTGAAAATCAATTATTTTCAAAAAATTTCCTCAATTCAATGATTTTCAGTATCTACTATTTCAATAAAATTTTCCAAAAAAAATTCAATTATTTAAAAAAAAATTTATGAAATTCATCCAAAATTCAATTATTTTAATAAATAATAAAATTTTCACAGGAATTCAATTAATTTAGAATAGCAGTTTCAAAAAAAATTTCGAAAAAATCAATTATTTAACAAAATTTTTATAGAATTCTTCACAATAATTCAATTACTTTCACTAATAATAACATTTTCCATGGAAATTCAATTTTTAAAAAAAATTTTTGATAAAATTCTAAGCAAAAATTCAATTATTTTCAAAGATAATAAAACTCATCGAAGAATTCAAATACTATTTTAAATTAATTAATCGAAAAATTCAATTATTTTCACAAATAAATATTTCCACAAGAATTCAATTATTAAAAAATAAAATTTTCATGATATTTATTATATTTCGAAAAAAATTAATTATTTAAAACAAAGTTTGTAAAATTCTTTGGAAGAATTCAATTATGCACAAAAATATTAGAATTTTTCACAGGAAGTCAATTATTTTCGAATATTTTAATAAAATTGTTCGAAAGAAATCACTTATTTCAAATACAATTTTAATTAAATTTTTTTGAAATAATTCAATTAATCTTTTAGATTTTAATAAAATTCTTTACAAGAATTCAATTATTTATATAAATAATTCTTCGAAAGAATTCAATTATTAAAGATAAATAACAAATTGATTTCCGAAAATTCAATTATTTTCAGGCATTTTAATAAAATTATTTGCGAAATTCAATTATTTTTATAAATAATAAAACTCATCGCAGAATTTCAATTATTTTTTAATATCATTTTAATTTCACTTCTGTTGAAATTCTTCCCTGAAATTCAATTCTTTTTAAGAATTTTAATAAAATTCTTTGCAAAATTTAATTATTTTTATAAATAACAATATTAATCACGAGAATAAAATTATTTTCAAAAGTAATAAAATTCTTTTAATAAATTCAATTATTTTCAAAAATTAAAAAAAAAATTCTCGTCTTGATTTCAATTATCTTTGAACAAACAGCCAAATTCTTCGCTGAAATTCAATTATTTTAAAAAATTTTAATGAAATTCAACGCAAACATTTAATTATTTTTATAAATAATAAAAATTTACCAAGATTTCAATTATTTTTATAAATAATAAAACTGTTCTCAGAAATTTAATTATTTTCATAAAAAATAAATTTCATCGTTGGTTTTTAATTATTTTTTATTCAATTTAAATCGAATTTCTCGAAAAATGTTATTATTCTTAAAAATTTTATTAAAATTCGTCAAAAAAATTCAATTATTCAAAAATTTGTTGATAAAATTTTTATAAGAATTCAATTTTAAGAAACATTTAATTATTCAATAAATAATTATTTATTTTTGTATTTAAGTAATTGAATTCTAGTAAAATTTTCTAATAAAAATTGAGTTAAAAATGAATTTCAGTTTGAAATTTTAGATTATAAATGAATATTATAAGTAAAATGGAAATTTTTAGAAATAGTTGAATTTTGAAAATGTTTCAAATTAAAATCTTTGAAAATCTAAATTTATGATACCTACTTTTAACTAACAATTTTGTAGAATTAATTTTCTTTTTAAATTGTTGGAATTTTTCATTTTCTTATAATATATTTAATGAAGAATTTCCGAATAATCGATTTATTATTTATGAAAATAATTGAATTCTTGCAACGAATTTTATTACCTTTTTTTAAAATAATTAAATTCAATTATTTTTAATCAAATTTTAATCAATTTTCTCAAGAAATGTAATTATTCTGAAAAATTATATTAAAATATTTCGAAAAAATTCAATTATTTAAAAATTTGTTGATGAAATTTTTTATGAAAATTCAATTTTGAGAAACATTTAATTAATTATTTATTTTTGTATTTAAATAATTGAATTCGCGTAGAATTTTCTAATTTAACATTGATTTTAAATAATGGATTTCAGTTAAAATTTTTGATAATAATTGAATATTAAAAGCCTTAGGTACAGCGTGAATTTTTAGAAATAATTGAATTTTGAAAATATTTAAAAAAATTTTTTTTAATTTAAAGTCTTCATACTTTTAACTAACAATTCATGGGAATTAATTCTTTTGAAAATGATTATTGGAATTTTTTTTAGAAATTATTTGAGATTATTATTTTCTATTATATATTTAATTAAAAATTTTCAAATAATCAAAGTTTCGTAAAATTGAATTATAAACAAATGGATTTGAAAATTTTCAAAAAACTTTGTCGAAAATAATTTTAAAATAATTGATTTAAAGAAGAATTTTAGTTGAAAATTTTAAAATTATAATTGAATTGAAATTATGAGAATAATTTTGAAGAAGTTACAGTAACAATATTCTTATAAATTGTTAATTTAAAAAAGGTTTGAATTTGAATCTTTTGAAGAATTTTCATTCCTACGGAAAAATAATAATGTAATATTTATTTCAAAAAAAAGCTATGAATGTTTTGAAATAATTTTACTTTTGAAGAAATTTGTAAATAAATGCAATAGAACATTTTTTTTGAGTATCTAATCATTTTTAAAGTGAATCAGAATATTCTTTTGGGTCAGAAAAAAATTAAAATTTTGTCTCGTAATCAGGAGGAAGTCAGGGAAAAAACAAGTAAATATTTGTGGCAACCTTGTATTCTATTATTCTCATTCTTGGTAGAATTATTTTTTGTTTATCTAATTTTCGTATCTATTTTTTTATCCTGGGTGACTATTATTAAATTCTTATTCCACCTTTCGTAGAGTATTTTCAACTCGAGATGCATGAATATTAAATATTAATTTTATCAGACGATATTGTGATTTAGGAATTAGGATAGAAATTTTTGTTCGAGTTTCTAATCTATGTCGCGTCGGTAAAACAGATCTAGGGGTCACTACTGATCAGTTCCTACGAATCATAGCCAAAGTTAAAAAATTATTCATATTTATATTTATTTAAAAAATTATTTTCTATTTTATCGAAGGTCAAGTTTTTCGAAATTGGAAACTTTTTTTTGAAAAGTATAGAGAAGAGGAAAAAAAAATATTTTTTCGTTTTTACTGTGTTAGAAAAAGGGAAGCATCTTGCTAACTTTCTTAAGCATCGACCGTCACGCGAGGTCGAGTTTCTTTTGTTATTACGGGGTTAACTCAAGCAGTCTCAACTTATGCGAAGTGTCTCGTAATGAAACAAAAGACAAAAGAGAGAAGATGCTGTTATTTAAAGATAAAAAATGGCGTCAGAGTGGAAATAAAAAAAAAGATACTTCGCAAGCTGAGATTTTAAGAAATAAGTGCCTTCTTTCATTATGACTCGTTCTTTTTTTTTCTCTCTTTTCAAGATTATCTTCACTGTCTTAATAGTCAGAGACGTCGCAAGCCACAAGTTGTTTAATTACAAACACTATTTTTTCCCTTATCGTATCTTTCATATAATTCTTAATGTTCTTACGTTTTAATGTAAGACAGGTTGTAAAGATACGAAACTGTAGCATTTAATTTTTTTAGAAAATTAAATTCCAAATTCTCTTAATGCTAATTTTGTATCCTAATTTAAAAACAAAAATCGTTATTCGATTAAAATTCTCTTTGAAATTAATTTAATTTACTCTCTCTAGTGCTTGAAATTAATGTTCAAAAGCAAGGGTGTGGCGATAGTTTCCCCTGATGAAAGCTTCGGATAGAAATCTTAATCGACGAATTTTCAATTAAAATTCGAATTTACCAGAATAAATAATCATTTCAGTTTCAGAATCAATAGCGAAATAAATTAATCCCTACTTTGAGTTCGAATTTTTAAAAGTGTGATTTCTATCAGAAACTTACAAGCAGGTTTTTTTAAAAAAATGGTGATGGTTTTTAACTGGTGGCCTATCTTTTTTTTTTCCTTTTTCTGCCCTACAGTGAAACGATCACGAACTAGAGAGAACAACACAACACCGGAAGGGTATAGGCCCTGAAGGAGATCTGATAATTTAACTTCCTGCAAAAGAAGGTTCGGTGGCTGTAAAATCTATTCGCATGATTTTTGTCTTTTCCACAAAGCATGACTATTTTTTTTTTTTATTTAACTTCTTTCTGCATGGTGTGTTATTGTTTTTACAAAGAAACAGTTCGAAACCTTGAAAAGGTGATAAAATTGATATTTATTTTAATGAATTCAACCTCTAAGGATAGAAAATTGGAAAGATAAAATTTCCTAAATAAATTTTCCTAAGTCATCCTAAAGATGATAATAATAATTATGAAGAAATATTTAAATATTTTCTTGGTAATTGAAATTTTGTTTATTATTTATTAGCCGTATCTTTAGATGTTCGCGTTTGTTTCTCAGTGTTGGAAAAGACGATGCTTGCGTTACCCTCTTAATCAGATTGTCCACGTAGCTCATTTCTCGGCGTCTAGTTTAATTTGATTCGTTTTGATTTAAGTGCTTTGTTTCTCCAACGTATTTCATCTCTTGAATTACTATAGTTTATTATTTGACTATGATAACAATATGAATTGCTCGTTTCTTAAATGATAAATATCGCATATTGTCTGCTAAAATACTGGTTTAATTAAAGTTCTTTTTTTTTAATTTCCAAATTTAATAACAGGGAATTTTCATTAGATCTTAGCAAATACGAGTCCTAATTTTTTTTTCCTAACTAGTGATGTACATGAACGAAAAATACGAGAAATGAGCAATGTTGCAAGAGAATTTATATATTCTTTTGTTTCTTTCTCTCCTATCGCATCTTATCTCAGATGTTACTATTCTCGAATTGTATGTCTCAATAATTGAATTATGAGAGAAAATTGCGAAGTATTATTTTAACATCAAAAATCAAAATGGATTAAAATAAACTGCAACGCTTTAATCCATTAAATGAATTCATCGACGAATTAATTTTTCAAAACAGATACGAATTATTTGATTTTGATTGAGAGATGGGTATATATTTTTGTCACTGCAAAAATTAATCAAAAAGTGGATTATTTTAATCTTCTTTGATGTAAAATTAAGCTACGATGCTTTTTAATACTTCATAATTTACTGTGAGCTATTTAAATATTTTAATATTCAGGAAAATATCTAGCAATAACAAATTAACATGATTGTCATAAAAATTTGATTTTTGTTTTTCCTTGCTTTCCAGAGAGAATTTTGACTTTTTCCCCGACCCTAAAGAATTTTTAATTTACTTTTTAAAAAATAATTATTAGAAACACTGAAAACTGTTTTTTCAAATACATTTATTTATGAATATCTTTAAATTTAAAATTATTCGAAACATTAATAATTTTCTTTTAAATAAATATTTAATTTCTATTATATTATTTTTCCATTTTTTATTATATAATTTTCTCATAGGAATAAAGATTTTAAAAAATTTTAAATTCAAAACCTTCTAAAATTCAATTATTTATAAAAATTGTAAACTCAATATCAAATCTTTCAAAATTCAATTACGGCCTCGCACTAAAACCTAATATTTACTAGTTTATTAACCATTTGGATACTTTTCTTTATTTGCTACACAAAAAGCTTCTTTTTTCGATGTTTGAGAATTTACACTATCTTCAAATTTGTTAACAGTTAAAAGAAAAATTATTTTCAAAAATTTTTATAAAGTTATTGGAAAAAATTTTAAAAATTGTAATAAAATCCATTAAAACGATTCAATTATTTTCACAAATTTTTCAAAATTAAATGATTTTTAATATCTACTATTTAAAAAAAAAATTGCCCAAAAGAATTGGATAATTTAAAAAAAAAAATGTTTATAAAATTCTTCGCAAAAATTCAATTATTTTCATAATTTAAAAAAATTTCCACAGGAATTGAATTATTTAAAACAGAATTTTCCTGAAATTTTTTCAAAAGAAATCCATTATTTAAATAGTTTTTAAAAAATTCTTCGCAAGAATTCAATTTATTTTCATAAATAAAAAAATTCCCACAGGAATTCGATTATTTAAAACTGAATTTTCCTAATATTTTTTCAAAAGAAATCCATTATTTAAATAATTTTTATAAAATTCTTCGCAAGAATTCAATTATTTTTATAAATAATAAAATTCTTCTCAGGAATTCAATTATTTTTATAAATATTAAATCTCACCGCAGGATTTAAATTATTTTTAATAAAATTTTTAATAAATTCCGCGAGAAGTGCAACTTATTATTCTTGACAATTTTAATAAAATTCTTTGAAAGAATTTAATTATTTTAAAAATTTTTTAATGAAATTCTTTCTAATAATTGAATTGTTTTCAATATAATTTTAATGAAATTTTTTGAAAGAATTCTATTATTTTCATAAATAATATAAAATTTTCAAAAAAAGTCAATTATATTTAAAACTCATCGCAGGATTTTAATTATTTTTAATATAATTTTTAATTTATTTCGCTAAGAACGCAATATTATTCTTGAAAATTTGAATAAAATTCTTCGAAAAAATTCAATTATCAAAAAAATTTGATATAATTTGTTTCGCAGAGTGTAATAATTATTTTCAATTTATTTTTAATTACATTTCTTGAATGAATTTAATTATTATCAAAAATTTTAATGCAATTCTTCGTAAAAATTCAATTATTTTTAAAAAATGTTGATAAAGTTCTTTATAAGAATTGAAATTTAAGAAATATTCAATTTTTCAGATAAATTATTTATTATTTAAATACTTGAATTCTAGTAGAATTTTCTAACAAGAATTGATTTAGAATTGAATAAAATAAAATGATTAAAGTTTTGAATAATTTTATTTATAAATTTTAAGAAAAAAATTATTGGATTTTGGAAGAATTACTTTTGTAATTTTTATAAATAGTTCAAAAATGCGTTAAATTGAAATCATTTGAAATATTTTAATTACTGTAGACAAAATAAAATAAATAGGTATTTAAATATATATTTGAAAAGATTATTACATTTTTGAATGTAATTATGAAATTATAACAAAATTGAGTCGTCAAGTTTAATTGTTCGATAGCTATTTTTTTACTACTTTTTTATGTAAAAAATACTTTTTGTTAAAAAAAAGAAGGTATTAAAACGAACTTTATTAAAATTTTTTATTCTTGTGAAGAAAATTAATTGTAATTAAATTTTTATTGGAAAAAATTATTGAATTTTTAAAGAACTTTATTTAAAATTGGGAAAAAATTAAGTTTTTAAAGAAATTTAATTAAATTAAATTTTGTAGAAAATATTTTCGTAGGTATTTACAAAAAAATTGCCGAATCGAAAAATTAATTTTACATTATTTTGAAACATTCTTTTTTAAAAACTGTTTTTAAGCTGAAAAATAATTTCTGACCGATTTTATTTTATGGCCATTGAATTTCTCTAAAAAAATTACTATAAAAACAATTTTATCAAATATTTCAATTATTTTCTTGATATAGTTAAAAATATCGGTGTCCCTCCCCTTAATTTCAAAGATTTAAATTCGAAATTAAAAAAAAAATAAATTGCGAACATTTTTATTTGAAATTTTAAAAAATTAGATGATTTAAAATCTTTCAATTCCATTTTTTTAAATAATTGAACCTTTCTGGACAGGTGATTGAAAATTTTTGAATGAATTATAATTTTTTAAAATTCTATTAAAATTTTTAAGAATTTATTTATTCATTTTATTTATTTATTTATTCAAAATTTTATGAATAATTTTGAAAATAATCGAAAAAAAACCAGTAGGTAATTTTTAAAATCAAATTATTTCAAATTTTCAACATTTATAAATTAGTAAAATAATCTAAAAGTAAATAATTAAAGAATAAAAATATTTATGAATTCAGAATATGAAATATTCTCTGAATATAAAATATTCTTGGAGCAGGTTGGTATTGAATCGTATATTATTCTCGATTTCAAGCTCAGTTTCCATTCATCTCTTTTTTAAATTACCTCTTTTAATGTTTGATTCTAAAAGAGAAACAAATGAGTAATGAGATAGTGAGACGATAATTAAAAATAAAAAAACATGCGATTTTCTATTATGCAGAAATTGAGATCGATGTGATATTTGAGAATAAATATAATGTACATCACTATAAAAAAATCCCGAACGTATTTTTTATCGAAAAAATTTTAAAGTATAAATATTTTTTAAGAAATAAATTATTTCTTGTCAATTCGGTAAAATAAATTTAGAAAAATGGTCAGGTACTTTTCTTTGCTTTCATTTCTTTGCTAATTTTGCTTTTTAAATTGTATAGTGCTAATGGTGATTTGTAAAAAAATTGTCTTTAATTTTCCTGTTTTTTTTGCAAATTCTTGATGTTTCAGTGCGTAGAACGTTGAAGAATGGTCTTTCGGAAGAAGAAAAGAAGCACATCGCCGCATATATAAAGGGCTATTGACTGTGATAGATACTTGCCCGAAGACTATAATAACGCCCTCCAACTTCGATATCGTTTTATTTTCATTTAATAATCGAAATCTTATTTCTGACTTCGATAAGTCTGACAGATCCGAAAAAAGAAGAAAGGGCGATGAAAATATGTATGCGTAGTGATACCAAGAAGGTGAGAGAAAATTCTAAAAAAAAAAATTCAATTTCTTTTCATTTCTTTTTTGTTAATCGAATAGTAAATTTTAAAAAGTTGGAAATTTTTTTTTGTCTCATCAATTATTTGCAATTTTTTTTTCTATATTTAAAAAAAAAATCTACGTTTATTTTTCGATTAGTTCACTATTTTTAGAAATCTAATTTTTAGAAATTAGTTTAAAAAAATTTAGATCAGAAGTTGAAATTTATTGAATTCAAGATTTTTTGTTCTGCAATCAGGACAACGATCTTAAATTAAACTGCAAGAAGACTGTTTTTGTTTTAGCTTTCACGTGATTTTTTTTCTAATGAAAGAATCTCTTCAAGTGATTTCCGTTAAAGCTTTTTGTTTATTAAGTTAAGTAATTACGACTGTTTCAGTTTTTTTTTTTTAATTATCAGCTGTACCTGAATGAGAAAAAAAAGTGGATTTTATTCGATTGTTTCTTCTTTTCCGTTAGAGACAAATTTTTTCCAGAGTTTTAAAGAAAATCTGATTTTCATTTCTAGTAATTTCATTTATAGTTTTTAAATTATTTAATGAAAGTTATTTTATAATTTTATTATTAGCATGTTTTTAGTTGAATAATTTAATAATTTATATTCAAGTTTGAAAAAGAATAAAAGACGATAAAATAAAATAAAATAAAATTTGAATTAAGAGCGAATGACACTTGCTTTTTCGGAAAAAAAAAATCGATTTGCATTGCATTTTTGGTGTCTCTACGCTGTGCTTCCATTTTTTTTTTGAATCGTTTGTCATTAATGACAGTCGATCAAGTTTCGACTGAATCTTTAAGGTGATAAGTTAATACCGAAGCTAATCTTAAAGTCAAAAATTAGGCTGATCGAGAGCTAATCATTCGTAAAATCGCGACTCATTCCTTTTTTGAGTCTTTGTGATTAATTGATTAATATTTGAGAATTAAATAATAAGCCGCAAAATATACCTTTCACTTGGAGTGTTAATTATTATTGACGTTTCAATTATCGAATAATCGTTACTTAATTATAAATAATATCAGCTTTATGATGAAAATGACATTATTAAAATGGCTTTTGAATTTGTCAGCTGTTTTTTTTTTTTGCGAAACGTGGTCTTGGAAATAAATAAAAACGAAATTTAATTAATTTTCTCTTAAAGTAAAGAAATTAGGCCACGAAAAAAAGTATTTCTAATAGTTGAATGTTAAATTGTATTTAAAAAAAATAACTAGGGTGCCTTCTCGAGCAGAAAAAAAAATTACTGCCGTTCATAAGAAAATATAATTATTCTCAAATGTAAATATTTAAAGAAATTGTTTTGTACAGAACAAAACGAATTTTATAAATTTTTTGATATATACGGTGATGAATTTTTTTTTCCCATGAGAAATGCGTATTAGCGCAGTGGCCATTACTTAGCTCAAAATAAAACTTCGATTTCTATTAAAAAAAAAAGAGAGAAACGAACACATTTTAAAAAATGTTCTTAGGAAGCGAAATATTTAGAAATCTGCAAAATATGTTGCATTATTTAAGTTGTAGTTAGATTTTATTTCAATACAACGAATGTGATCAATTTCAAATTGATAAAAAAAAAAAAAAATTTGTTAATAGTGAGGAGAAAAAAGAAAATGAAAATACACTTTAAAAATAATTTAAACTACTTTATCTATTTGTCGCAGTGCACGATTGTATTATGTTGTATGCTCCGAGAATGTGATTGTTATAAAAATAAAGAATGGCAAAGATCTCTCAAGTATAATTTGTTTTGCTTCATTTTATTTCAGGATTATTCAACTAATATTGTCAATTGAGGAGCAATCAGGAATATTTAAAGTATATTTAAATTTCGTGAATGAAGTTTTGAGAAAGACGACGATTGAGATTCCATTTAAGAAAATTTCGCGATGTGAAATTGTGCTACGGAAAATTTTGCTTCTTTTAGAAGAAGACGAAATGAGAAAAATTGATTTCAAAATTGGTTTTTCATTATGAAAAAGTAGAAGAAAATTTACAGGTAATTTTTTTTTTAATTCTTAAGTTGTATATATAGTTTAAGTTGCAACAATATTTTTCATTTTAAAAGTATTTAAATTCAATTATTTTCAAAATTAATAAAATTTTTCACAAGAATTCAATTATTTTTATAAATAATAAAATTCTCTGCAGGAATTCTATTATTTTTATAAATTTTAAAACTAGATAGGTATTGTTTAATAATCTTTCGAAGCAGGCAATGAAACGGAAATAAAATTTCAACAAAAATATAATTGCAATGCAGCTAGCTTATCTAGTTTTCATTAGATGCAGCACATGCGTATAGTGAAAAGCGAATTCATATTTAAACTTACATTTTCGATAAGCGGTTTGCGGCCTTGCAGGCGCAATACCTAAAGTAGTTGTTCTATACGAGATAAAAAAATTTCGTACTACCAGGAATTAATTTTGATTATAATATAAATAATAATTATTACTATTATCACCTAGGAGTAATCTTAATAAAAAACTAAAAATAAGTATAATTATTGGATAATAAACAATAAAGTGATTTGTGCTAAATAGTTTTATGTCTGCTTTCGTCTATCTTGTCAAAGTTACTTCTCTTGGTGTAAAACATAAAGAAAAATTAAGCAACGAATTTTCTGAATTTATAAATTAGTTATGATATTTATTTATTTATCTACTTATTTACGGGTATCGAGTGTTATTGAAAGTGAAAAATGATTTATATTAGTTGCAGTTTAATTTTGTACCGGATTTTTAAGGAACTATTTGTCTATTAATTTTTTATTTCTATTTATATTTCAATTAATTTTTTATTTCAGATTACTTTGTAAAAAAAAATTGAATGCGACGTTATGTAAATTTATTCTTAAAAGTGTCTACTCTTCTTTCATCAAAAGGTATGTGCATTTTTTTTATTATTCGAAATTCTCTTCACAATGCAAATATATTTTGTCGTAATTAGAATGACGAACATATTTTTTGTGTTTAAAAAAAAGTTAATTTTAGTTGGATTAAATTTTTTCTTTAGTGTTTTAGAATTAAAATAACATTTTGATTATATTGCTTATGAATAATTCGCTGGAATTAATGTTACTTCATTTTTTTATCATATCTCTCCTAAAACACTTAAAATTCCTTGATTTTAGATATTTCTCTCCCCCTTTTACTATTTTTTTTTTAAAGAAACAGAAAAAATTGAACAAAAAAAGTATGATTTAAAAAAGAGTACAAATATAAATAAACCTTGGGAAATAAAAAGTAAAAGTTATTTTAGAAATAACAATTTTTAATACTAAATTTAAATTTTATCGAAGTAAATTTTACTAATTACTGATACGGTAAAATTTATGGATTTTAAAATAAAAGTGTCGATCTAAAAAAGTTTTAATAACATTCTTTGCAAGTTTTCAATTATTTTTATAAACAACAAAAATTCATTACAAGAATTCAATTATTTTGAACAGTACCTAATAAAATTTTTAGCAGAAATTTAATTATTTTCAAAAATTTTTTTTTAATTGTCATCAAGATTTCAATTATTTTTATAAATAGTAAAATTCTTTTTATTAGGAATTAAACTATTTTTTAAAAATAATTAAAGGAATCGCAGAATTTCAATTATTTTTAATACAATTTTAATTAAATTCCTCAAAAAATGCAATTATTCTTCAAAATTTTATTAAAATTCATCACAAGAATTCAATTATTTTCAAAAGTAATAAAATTCTTCACAGAAATTAAATTATTTTCAAAAATTTTTTTCTAATTTCTCGTAAAGATTTTAAATATCTTTATAATATAGCAAAATTCTTGGACGAAATTCTTGATAAAATTTAAATTATTTTCGAAATTTTTTCTCAATTTAATGATTTTTAATATCTGGTATTTTAATAAAAATTCCCAAAATATCAATTATTATTAATACAATTTAAATTGAATTCCTCTAAAAAAGTAATCATTTTTAAAAAATTTATTAAAATTCGTCCACAGAATTCAATTATTTAAAAATTTATTTATAAAATTCTTTATAAGAATTGAATTTTAAAAAACATTTAATTACTCAATAAATTATTTATTTTAAAATATAAATAATTGAATTCTCGTAGAATTTTCTAATTCTTGTCAAAATTTAAATTCTTCGCTAAAATTCAATTATGCTACAAAATTTTAATAAAATTCGTGTCAAAATTTTAATTATTTTCAAAAATTTTCCTCAATTCAATGATTTTCAATATCTACTGTAAATTTTAATAAAATTTTTGAAAAGAATTCAATTATTTTATAGGAATTTAATAAAACTCTACACAAAGATTTAATTATTTGCATAAATAATAAAAATTTCACAGGAATTAAATTGTTTACAAAGTTTTTGTAAATTTCTTCTCAAAAGTTTAATTTCTTCGCAAAAATTCAATTATTTTCAAAAATAATAACAATTTTTACAGGGATTCAATTATTTTTATGAATAATAAAATTCTTTTTAGGAATTCAATTATTTTTAATTGAATTTTAATCAAAATTCTCGAAAAATGTCATTATTCTCAAAAATTTGTTTATTTATTTATTTGAAAAATTTTTAATTTGTCTAAAGAATTCAAGTATTTAAAATAAATTTAATAAAATTCGACAAAAACGTTTAATTATTTTCATGAATAATAAAATTCTTTTTAGGAATTCAATTAATTTTTAATCAAATTTCTCGAAAAATGTAATTATTTTGAAAAATTTTATTAAAATATTTCGAAAGAATTCAATTATTAAAAATTTTTTTTGCTAACATTTTTTATGAAAATTCAATTTTGAAAAAAATTCATTTAATTATTTATTTTTGTATTTAAATAATTGAATTCCTTTAGAATTTTCTAATACAAAATTTATTTAGAAATGAATTTCAGTTAAAAATTTCAAATAATAATTAAATATTGAAAGCATTATAGCCGGAATTTTTATAAATAATCGAATTTTGAAAAGATTTCGAATTAAAATCTTTAAAAATGAATTTTTCGTAATTTTAATCAACAATTCTGTACAACTAATTTTTTTTGAAAAAGTTTAATTGAATTGAATTGAATTTTCTTGAAGAAGAATTTTAGTTAAAAATTGTAAAAATGAATAATTCAATTGAAATTATGAGAGTAATTTTGAAAAAAGTTTGAGTTTGATATTTTTCAAAAAGTCAATAATTATGTTATTATTAAAAATAATGATCATTAAATATTTATTTAAAAAAGAAGTTATTGGTGTTTTGGAATAATTTTACTTTTTGAAGAAATTTGAAAATAAATGTAATAGAACATTTTTTTGAGTATCTAATAATTTTTAGTGTGAATCAGAATATTCTTTAAGTTCAGGGAAAGAGTCAAAATCAGTCAGGAAAAAGTTTGGAAATCAGGGAAAAATAAGGAGAAAACAAAATTAAATTTTTGTAGCAACTTTGATATGGTATATTAATTGAAAATACAAAACACATTTTATTAACAAAGTGTGCTTGAAATGCACAATTTATTTTTAACTTTTATCCAACTTTAACAACATACAATATAATGTAATAATAAAAACGTATCAATTACAATGATTCATGATAGCAACGAGAAAGAGACAATATTGGTAGTACAACAAATCTTCAAAAAATTTGTTATCCACTGTTATGTTATTTTAAGTACAATTAAAAATGATATAATAAAAGTATAGAGAATTTTGATCAAAAATTGAAAAAGGTGATTTATTATTTCTATAGAATATGATTATGAAGCTGTTTTGAGTACAATAATTGACAGAGCAGAGTAACACATCATTTTTCATAAATTTCATCTATTCCACACTCAAGTAAAAAACACTCCGATTTTTTTTTTCTCCCTTCACATTTGCGCAATAATGAATTTTTCGAAACTTTTTACAATTGGGGGTGGGGGGGGGGGGATCGTGCGGCGATTGAATTTATCTATTTGGAATGTTCTATACAGTATAAATGCAACATTAATTACCAGCGATTGTTATGAATAATAATTCTTTTTTTACATTATAAAATTACAAATATTATTTAGAATTCGAAAAGAATGAAATGAAGTGGTTAAATATTTTATATTATTACAAAAAGAATATATATTTATAAAATTACAAAGTATATAAAAAGACTTGGCTTTAAAATTTAAAGAGGAGAAGAAAGAATAATTCGATTTTTTTTTCGTTTTATAACTGAAATTAAATTGTACTTATAAACTAATAAAAAAAAATTAAACTGTGATCTTAATATTAAGCCCGGGTTATTCCTCTGAAATATCTGAACTTTTATACAATATTTAAAAGATAAAAAATTCAATAATTATTGTTATTTACAATAGGTTTGATGTGTCTCTAAATAAATCTATTATATAATAGAGTAATCAATTATTGCATACGAGTGAAAAGCAGGAATCGTTGGATTCTTTTTTCTCTTTCGCAAATGCTTATTGATACATTCAGTTTATCGTATTTCGTCAAGTCGTATAAGTTTTTTTTGTTTTTATTTTAAAAAATCACTTTTTTACTATAATAATAATAATAATAATAATAATAATAATTCATCGTTGAATGGAGAATTCGATGTTTTTAATTTTTTATTTCTCCATAAGAAAATTTATCTATGAGTCCATTTTCTGTGTTTTCAAAAATATATTTCGTTTATGAGAGAAAATTTCAGAAACGAAAGACAATATAATGATGACACAGATGAATTGAAAATTTATTTATTAGGGAATAAAAGTTGTTGTCCCCTTTTATTGCACGAGCTTTTATCATTGTTTCGATCAAAACTGTACTTCAGATATATTTTTTCTGTAGGACAGTAAAAATTCAATGAAAAAAGATTTTAGGTGTTTGAAGTCTTTTAAAGTTCATCGTGCTTTGGCCCGCTGAATTCCTCATGTGAAATAAAGCCATTTTTGTCCTTGTCTTCGTGTTGGAAAATCTCCTCAACCAGTTTGTCGTTATTTTCCAACATCTTTTTGACTTCCTCGTTATCCTCTCCTGCTTCCTTAGCACCATCCATCTGCTTGGCGAGGTACTTACTCACCTGCCGAGAATAAATTGACAGTTAGATTTTTATATTATTATTTTTTTTTTTGGAAAATTATATTCAGTAATATAGACAGATAAAAGAAATATTGGATATTCATTCAATTTATCGGGGTTAATGAAATTAAATAATGTCAGAAAATCAATTTATCATTCAAGAAAATATAATTTTATCTACTTTAATAATAATTTTTTTTATTAAAGATAAAATTATATTTAAATTGAATTTTTTCTTTTTGTTTTCTCTCATTTAATTTTTATCCGTCTGGAAAGAGTATATATACGAGTATTGGATTGTAGAATTGATTTTAATGTTGACTAGCGTTTCTTTTTTCATCTTTTTTATATTTTACCACTCTTTTTACGTATTCAGTTTACTTCCACCTTTATTATTTAAAAAATTTTTTAAATATTTCAACCTTTCGTTGACTTAGTCGGTCCTTAAAAATAAAATTATCTGCTTCATTTGAAGAAATGGCATATTTAATTCAAAGATAAATTATGGTTCATTTTAAATTATAAATAATTTTATTTTTAAAGATCTGAATCAAAGAATGTCAAATGAAATTTATATTACATGAATTTTATGTCAATTAAAATTTATGTCAAATGAATATTATGTCAAATAACATTTGACATGTTAAATTATTTAAAGTTAAATAAGATTTCGTGGAATATTAATTCTACAGGAATTAAAATATTTCAAATGATTTCAATGTAACGCATTTTTGAAATTTAACTATTTCGAAAAATTACAAAAGTAATTCTTTCAAAATTCAATCATTTTTTTCTTGAAATTTATAAATAAAATTATTCACAACTCTAATCATTTTATTTTATTCAATTTTAAATTAATTCTTATTAGAAAATTTTACGAGAATTCAATTTAAATTCAACAATAAATAATTTATAGAATAATTGAATATTTCTTAAATTAGAATTTTCATAAAGAACTTTATAAACATTTTTTGAACTAATTGAATTTTTGAGAAAAATTGCATTAAAATTTTTTGATAATAATTAAATTTATTCAGGAAATGTAATTAAAATGAATTGAAAATAATTATAATACTCTAATAAACAAATTATATTAAATTTTTTTAAATAATTGAATTTTTTCGAAGAATTTTAATTTTATTCAAATTTTTAAGAATAATTGCCATTTTGAGGAATTAAAAATTAAAATTATATTAAAAATAATTGAAATCCTGCGATGAGTTTTATTATTTATGGAAATAATTGAATTTTTGTCACCGAACTTTAATAAAGTTTTTAAAATAATTGCATTCTTGAGAAGAATTTAAAAAAAATCTTTTTAAAGAAAATAATGATGTTTTTCAAAAAATTTTATGAAAATTGTATTTTAAATAATTGAAATGCTTTGAAAATTATATATTATTTATAAAAATAATTGAATTCTTTCAAAAAATTTTATTAAAATAATATTGTAAACAATTCAATTATTATAAAGAGATCGATTAAAATTTTTTAAAATAATTGAATTTTTTCACAGAATTTTATTCAAATTTTTAAGAATAATTGCCTTTTTGCAGAATTCATTTAAAATTGTATTAAAAATGATTGAAATCCTGCGATGAGTCTTAACATTTATAAAAATAATTAAATTCTTACAACGATTATTATTAAAATTTTTATTATTTATAAAAATAATTGAATTCTTGCGAAGAATTTTTAATTTATTTAAATAATTGATTTTGTTTCGAAAAATATTAGGAAAATTCTGTTTTAAATAATTGAATTTCTGTGAAAATTTGTTGATTTATGAAAATAATTGAATGTTTGCAAAGAATTTTATGAAAAATTTTTTTAAATTATTCAATTCTTTGAAGAAAATGTTTATTAAAATTGTAGATATTAAAAATCACTGAATTATGAAAAATTTGTGAAAATAATTGAATCGTTTTAAAGAATTTTATTAAAATTAAAAAAAAGAATTGAATTCCTTGCGCAAAATTTTATTATTTATGAAAGTATTTTAATTCTTTAGAAGAAGTTTTTTAAAATTTGTGAACACAATTAAATTTTTTTCAAAGAATTTATTATTTATTAAAATAATAATTAAATTCTGGCGTAAAAATTTGTTAATTATTTTTGAAAATAATTGAATAATATTGAATTTAATTAAAACAGAATTTTCAGAATTTTTTCAAATTTATTAAAATTTGTGAGAAAAATTGAATTCTTTCTAGGAATTTAATAAAAATGTTATTGAAAATTATTGAATTCTGGCGTAAAAATTTGTTAATATTTTTGAAAATAATTGGATTTTGGAAGAGAATTTTATTATTTACAAAGATAATTGAAATTTTGACGAGAATCTATTTAAATAATTGATTTTTTCGAAAAATATTAGGAAAATTCTGTTTTAAATAATTGAATTCTTTTGAAAAATTTCTTTTTATGAAAAAGTTGTTTGCGAAGAATTTTATAAACATTTTTTTAAAATTATTCAATTCTTTTGGGGTAAATTATCAAACATGGAAAAAAAGTAGCTTGTAGTGTAACAAATAAAAAAAATTTCTCCGAATAGTAACAAATCGTAAAAAAAGTAATAAATAGTAGGTTTTAGTAGATAAGTGCGAGGCCTGCAATTTAATTATTATTTTCTTTAATTTTTAAATAAAATTCTTCTTTAAATAAATTATTTTTAATAATTTTTGAAAAAGTTCTTCTTTGAGAATTTTTAAGTCCATTTGTTTACATTTCAATTTTACCTGAAATTTCAATTATTGGAAAATTCTACAATTAAATATACATTAGAAAGTAAAAACTTGAAATACTTTTAAAAAATTTCGATTAAGCTTTTTAAAAAAAATTAATTACATAGAATTTTTAATTAAAAGTATGAAAAATTCAGATTTTCAAAGATTTTGATTTCAAACATAATTTAATTTACAAAATTAAATTATTTCTAAAAATTGCAATTATTAGTAACTTCTCAAAAATTTAATTATTATCTAAAACTTTAACTGAAATGTTCGAAATAAATATTAACTATATACTTAAACGAAATTTAAAAAAGAATAATGTGAAAATAAAATTGCATTAGTGTTAATACTTAATAAAAATAATTCCTTTCTGCCTCATAATTTCAGCATCGACAGTTTAGTTTTGACGGAACTTCATTTTCTTTTTTTTTCTGTAAAATTAATGCTCCATGAAATGTTTGTGGCTTTTAGTGAATTCCCAGATTATCTTTGGAGATTAAATCGATCCATTGGTAATTGATATTTGTGAATTACTGCTCTAGGAAAAAGGGAGGTTCGGTATAAATGTTGAGAACGTGTCCCAGGAAGGATTAACTCATTCCATTTTGTCAAAAGTTAAAGTTATTCTTGCAATTTTCATTCAAGTACTTGAAAAATTTACTATAATATAGTAAATTAATTTTAATTAATTAATTAATTAATTTTAAATTAATTTATTATAAATTCTTAATATTATTAAGAATTTATTCATTTTTCTGTAAGGCTTCTTCTTCTTCTTCTTCAATATTAATATAATTTAATATAAATGTTAAAATTAAATTCAATATATTTAATGTTTAATATCAAATAACTTCATGATGTCTCTATTTCCATAAATTATTATAAATTATTCATAATCCATAAATGAACTGAATTTTCACTTTTTCATTAAATATTAATCCAATTATAAATAAATGGTGAATAAGCATTAAAAATTTACACTTTTATTTCTTTTTTACTATGAACTTTATCCCAGAATGTTTTATTTCTTTTTTATTGTGAATTTAATTCCAGAATGTTTTAAATAGTTTAGATAAATGTCTGTTGGTTCAAATACTATTTTTGAGTCAACTTATAAATAATTTAAAAATAAAACTTTTGTTACCTTTCTAAATTACTAATTGCTTTTTTAATACTGTTGAGGATTAATAATAATAATAATAATTATGTGTAAAAATTGTACATGCAAATTTAATAATTATGTACTACTGGAATTTTTCAATTAGAAATCAAAATAGCCCGAATTAGTTGATACCCTTGGTTTGCGAACAAAGAATCGATTTTCCAATTTTAAGACTCAAAATTTTTGACCTAAAAAAAAATTTCAATTTCTTGCAAGCGAAAAAAAAAATGAAAACCAAATGTCCCATAATTTTTAATTTATTTTATAAGCCAATAATTTTGAGCTTAAAATAAATTACAATCGATTCTTTGATCTTTGAATGACCATAAATTTTTACAGTAAATTTTGTGCACTAAAATTTTTTAATTTCATGCAATTTTTTTTACGTTTTATTGAATTAGTTTTTTTTTCTAAAAGGACTCTGGTATTTAAATACGATTGAATTTAATTTATTAAGAAAAATATTGAATGTTTCGTGTGTAATTTTACTTGACAATCGATAAGTGATTGGAATTAGTATTTTGAAGCCAGTACCAAATGCCCCAGAAAAATGAATAAATAAAAGGATCTTGCCATTGCGCTCACCTCCTCGCGCGACAGTTGGTTGTCATTGTCTTCATCGATTTCCTTAAATACATTTGTCACTGGAGCCGAATCGCCGATGTTGATAAGTTCAACGTCGAAATGTAAAGTTGCACCTAAAACAAAATCATTTCAATTAGATTGTTATTTAATAGTTAAAATTTAAAATCCTTACTTGATAAGGATAACTGTAAATGAACTATAAGTTAATTATAATTTACAGAGAAACCTGTCGAAATATTTTTACAGGTTTGAGTGTAACTTTAAGTTGACTATAATTTGACTATAAGTTAACTAAAAGTTGATTTCAATTTTATTTTAAATTTATTATTTTAATTTTAGAAAAAACTGTATTTTTTTTGTTTGTAAATTTAGACGAAATTCTTTTATTTTTTATTATTAAACGAAATAAAACCTTTGTTAATAATACATTGTAGAACAAAGCGTTGGCATGCAAACTTCAAAGCTTTTATCTGCACCGAGGAAAAAAGTCGGAAAATCTGATTGATTGAAACAGAATAACAATTTTTATTCGTTTCCTGTCAGTTAAAAATAATTACCACTGTCTATTTATCCGCATAGAGAAAATTTTTAAAGTGCTCGAAAAATATAAAATATGATAAATAGATTTTTTTTAATTCTTTAATTTTAAGAATATTGAATATAGGTCTCGGATCGACTTTAAGTACCAAAACAAAAAAAAAACAGTTTTAGTCGAAAGTAAAAAAAATTATATATATTTTTAAGTCGCAAAATTTTTTTAATTTTTAGCTAAGTCTGGCCTCGCAATCATCTACTAAAAGTTTTCGTAATTCAATGATTTTTAATATCTACTATTTTAATAAAAAATTTCCCACAAGAATTGAATTAATTTAAAAACAATGCTTGTAAAATTCTTCGCAAACATTCAATTATTTTCATAAATAAAAAAATGTTCACAGGAATTCAATTATTTAAAACAGAATTTTCCTAATATTTTTCGAAATTAATCAATTATTTAAATAGATTTTTAGAAAATTCTTCGCAAGAATTCAATTATTTTTATAAATAATAAAATTCTTCTCAGGACTTGAATTATTTTTTTTTAAATTTCAATAATAATCTTTGCAAGAATTCAATTATTTTCAAATAAAAAGTAATAAAATTCTTCAGAGAAATTCAATTATGTTCAAAAATTTTAAAAGATTCTTTTCCGAAATTCAATTATTTTCAAAAATATTGACAAATTTTTACGCCAGAATTAAATAATTTTCAATACAATTTTTATTAAGGCTCCTGCAAAGAATTCAATTTTTTTCACAAATTTTAATAAAATTCTTCAATATAATTGAATTATTTTCAAAAATATTAACACATTTTTTTAGTTCAAAATAAATTATTTTAATAAATAATAAAATTCTTCGAAAAAATTTAATTGTGTTCACAAATTTTAATTAACTTCTTCTAAAAAAATTCAATTATTTTCATTAATAATACAATTTTTTGCAAAGAATTCAATTCATTTCTTAATTTTAATAAAATTCTTTAAACGATTCAATTATTTTCATAAATTTTACATAATTCAATGATTTTTAATATCTACTATTTTAATTAAAAAATTTTCAAAAATAATTGAATAATTTAAAACAAATGTTTACAAAATTCTTCGCAAACATTCAATTATTTTCATAAATTAAAAAAATTTTTACATGAATTCAATTATTTAAAACAGAATTTTCCTAATGTTTTTCGAAAAAAATCAATTATTTAAATAGATTTTTATAAAATTCTTCTCAAGAATTCAATTATTTCCATAAATAATAAAATTCTTCTCAGGAATTCAATTATTTTTAAAAATTTTACAAATAATAATCGTTGCAAGAATTCAATTATTTTTATAAATATTAAAACTCATTGTAGGATTTCAATTATTTTTAATACAATTTCAAATGAATTCCGCGAAAAATGCAAAGACTATTCTTATAAATTTTAATAAATTTCTTTGCATAATTTCTATTATTTTTAATCTTAGTTTGAATTTTTCGTGAATTTAATTGGAAGTTGTAAAGAACTCATAGTTTTTTGTTAAATTTTGATATTATTTGATATTGAAAATGATTATAACAAACTTAATAAGTTTACTTTTTAAAAACAAAATAAGAATATTATAGAAAATTATTTAAATAACAATTAAAATATTAGTATCAGTAGTAAAAGTCGATTTTAGTCAGACAAAATTGCGAATACAATGAAAAACATAATAATAAAGCTTAGAAAGTATTTTTTTTAAGGGTGTGTGGAATCAGCCAACTTCAATTAATACATGTATTAATATTCCCACCGGTTTTCTAAAAAAATATTTAATAAATCTTGACAAAATATAAGAAAAATAATATTTTATTTATTGAGGCATGGATCTCTAGTCCAATTAATACAAAAATTTGCTTTTAAATATTATTTTTCATTTAATAAAAAGTTTGATATTTTTTGAGAAAAAAAGACAATCAAATACAAATTAATATTGAAAAAGATGAATAAATTTATATTTTTCTATGTTAACATTCATTTTTTTCAATGGCAATTTGTATTCGATTGTCTTTTTTTCTCGAAAATTGTCAAAAAAATGAAAGTTTGAATAGAAAAATATAAATTTATTCATTTTTTTTAATATTAATTTGTATTTGATTGTCTTTTTTTCTCAGAAAATATCAAACTTTTTATTAAATGAAAAATAATATTTAAAAGCAAATTTTTGTATTAATTGGATTAGAGATCCATGCCTCAATAAATAAAATATTATTTTTTTTATATTTTGTCAAGATTTATTAAATATTTTTTTAGAAAACTGGTGGGAATATTAATACATGTATTAATTGAAGTTGGCTGATTCCACATACCCTTAATAAATAATACAAAATGATACAAAACTGTTTAAAAACCACTTAAAACATTAATATTAGTAGTAAAAGTCGATTTTAGTCAGACAACATTGTAAATATAATGAAACAAATAATAAGCTTAGAAATTACTTTTAATAAAAACAAATTAAGAAAATCATACAAAACAATTTAAATAAAATATTAAAATCAGTAGTAAAAGTCGATTGTAGTCAGACAAAATTGTAAATACATTAAATATGATAATAATAAGCTTAAAAGTACATTTTTTAAAGAAAAATAGAAAAATTACTAAAAATTGTTTAAAAAACACTTAAAACATTAATATTAGTAGTAAAAGTCGATTTTAGTCAGACAACATTGTAAATATAATGAAACAAATAATAAGCTTAGAAATTACTTTTAATAAAAACAAATTAAGAAAATCATACAAAATAGTTTAAATAAAATATTAAAATCAATAGTAAAAGTCGACTTAAGTCAGACAAAAGTGTAAAAATTGTAAGGACAATCTTAGAAAGTATTTTTTTTCAAACAAAATAGGACAATTATTAAGTCATACAAAATTGTTTTAATTAATTCCATTAAAAATGTAATCACTCTTAAAAATTTGAATAAAATTCTTCGAAAAAATTCAATTTCTATTTTAAAAAATTTGATATAATTTGTTTCTTATAATTATTTTCAATTCATTTTTAATTCCATTTCTTGAATGAATTTAATTATTATCAAAAATTGTTATGCAATTTTTCGTAAAAATTCAATTATTTTAAAAAATGTTGATAAAGTGTTCTTTAGAAGAATTCAATTTTAAGAAATATTCAATTTTTCAGATAAATTATTTATTATTTAAATAATTGAATTCTCCTAGAACTTTCTAATAAGATTTAATTTAGAATTGTATAAAATAAAATGATTAAAGTTTTGAATAATTTTATTTATAAATTTCAAGAAAAATGAATTGAAAAATGATTGAATTTTGATGGAATTACTTTTTTAATTTTTAGAAATAGTTAAATTTCAAAAATGCGTTATATTGAAATCATTTGAAATATTTTAATTCCTGTAGAGAAAATAAATAGGTATTTAAATATTTATTTTAAAAAATTATTCCATTTTTGAATGTAATTAAGAAAGTATAAAAAAATTGAGTCGTCAAGTTTAATTTTTCGATAGCTACTTTTTTACTACTTTTTTCTGTCTTTAAGCTACTTTTTTTAAAATTAATTATCGAGTACGAAGTCTGCTCAGTTGAAAATCTAATGAATCATTGCCTACGGTGGAAACAGTTTAAATTAAAAGCTACAAATTTTTATAGTCTGGCCATGGCGTTGGCCATGGCTTCTAGATTTTGGCCATGGCCAAAATTAAATTAAAATGTATAAATTTAAAAATTTGGAAGCATTATTCCAGTAAAATTATCTACAGAACATTGATTAGAATTGCAGAATGGTAGATAATTCCAGTAAAATTCTGTAGAACTTTTTGGAACTGGGCGTGTGGGTAATGTTGATTAGAAAACCTTGTTATGATTATTAATTTTGTGCATCACAACATAGAATCACAAAATATAACAATGGTTGTCGAAGGCTAACAAATTGCTCCTGCCGCGAACAACAAGAGAGAAAGAGATATTGTACATTAGTTATGGATGGTCCCGTAGCGACTACACGAGCACTAATGAAATATGATGCTTAATTATTCATCATTTAAATGCAAAATGACTTGTGTTCGCGGCGTTTATATATCCCAAAAATGTTTGTTCAGTGTAAAACAATATTAAATTTCATTCATTGAATCATACATTGGTTGCTGCATACGTGACTAATTTTCATTAACTCAAAAACTTGCACTATTCATATATATATAAGAAAGATACCGTAGGCGATCTTCTGTTGCATAAGAAAATCACATTAAATTACACATCGTATTACTTGTAATCGTGTGTGTAATTAGAGCAGGAAGTCATGTCTCGCAATCTACAAAACTGAAACTTATGAGAGGAGGAAACTATAATATGAGATTCTAAGAAATAAATACTGTTTTATGACGTTTAGAAAATTGTATCAAAACCAGGCATCACTTTTTTTTCTCAAAAAAGGTGAAAAGGGGAATTTTTTCCCTCAAAATGGGGATAAAAATTTATTTCTTTATACAACTTGCATATATAATTCAAATTTTTCATCATATAGCTTCCATTAAATTTTTTAAAAATGGTTCGATTTTAAGAGTTGCCACAAAACATTAATTTTGTTCTTCCCTGACTTTTCCCTGATTACAAGACAAAATTTTCCCTTTTTCCCTCAAGAATATTTTGCGATTCCCTCTAAAAATGATTAGATACGAAAACAAATGTTCTATTCCGTTTATTTACGAATTTCTTTAACTGTAAAATTATTCGAAAACAGCAATAACTTCTTTTTTCAAAAAATATGTAATCATTATTATTTTGCCATATAGGAATTAAGATTTTAAAAACATTCAAATTTAAATCTTTTTGAAATTCAACAAATTACTAAGAATATTATTATAAAACATGAAGAAAGTGATTACTCCGAGTCATCGACTCGGAGTAATCACTTTCTTCCTGTTTTATAATAATTAAAGATGACCGAGTGATAAAGATCATTATTTTCTACTATAAAAAATATTTTTACTGTAACTTCTTTAAAATTATTTTCATCATTTCAATTCAATTATATTATTTTCTAGAATTTGTAACTAAAATTCGTCTTTAAATCAATTATTTACGATAATTTAAAAAAAAATCAGAGAATTTTCAAATATATTTATTTACTACAATTCAATTTTACGAAATTTCATCGATTATTCGAAAATTCTTTAATTAAATATATATTTGAAAATAAAAACTTCGAATAATTTTAATAAAACTTTTTGAGAGAAATTAATTCTAAAGAATTGTTAGTTAAAAATATGAAAAATTCAGATTTTCAACGATTTCAATTTGAAACTTTTTCAAAATTCAATTATTTTTAAAAATTCACGCTATAATGCTTTAAATATTCAATTATTGTGTAAAATTTTAATTTTTAACTGAAATTCACTTAAATCAATTTCTATTAGAAAATTCTACGAGAATTCAATTATTTAAAATACAAAAATAAATAATTTATATTGAATAAATGAAAGTTTCTTAATATTTAATTCTCATAAAGAATTTTATCAACTAAATTTTAAATAATTAAATTCTTTCGACTAATTTTAATAAAAATTTTCAAAAGAAATTAGATTTTTCGAGGTATTTGATTAAAATTGTACTCAAAATAATTGAAATTCTCCGATGAATTTGATTATTTCTGAAAATAATGGAATTATTACGAAGAAATTTATAAAAAATTTGTAAATACCAGAATTCTTGTGAAATTATTTTATTATATATGAAAATAATTAAACGTTTGCGTAGAATTTTAATAAAATTTTTTTTAAATAATTGAATTCTTTTGGAGAATTTTATTAAAATAGTGGACATTGAATATCATTGAATTTAGGAAAATTTTTGAAAATAATTAAATTTCAAAAAGAATTTTATTATTTATAAAGAGAATTGAAAATTTGACGAGAATTTCTTAAAATTTTTGAATATAATTGAATCTCTGAGAAGATAAATTTTATTTTTCATAAAATTAATTTAATTAATTTCATAATTTATGCAAATAGTTGAAATTTTGACAAGAAATATTATTAAAATTTTTAAAAATAATTGAATTTCAGAGAAGAATTTTATTATTTATAAAGAGAATTGAAATTTTGACAAGAATTTTTAAAAATTTTTAAATATAATTGAATTTTTAAGAAGAATTTTATAATTTTTGAAAAAAATTGAAATTTTGCCAAGAGTTTTATTAAAATTTTGAAAATAATTGAATTTCTGAGAAGATAAATTTTATTTTTGATAAAATTTTATAATTTTTGCAAATAATTGAAATTTGGCCAAGAATTTTATAAAAATTTTTGAAAATAATTGAATTTTGAAGAAGAATTTTATTATTTATAAACAAAATTTAAATTTTGAAGAGAATTTCATTAAAGTTTTGAATATAATTGAATTTCTTTGAAGAATTTTATAATTTTTGCAAATAATTGAAATTTGGCCAAGAATTTTATTAAAATTTTTGAAAATAATTGAATTTCGAAAAAGAATTTTATTATTTATAAAGAGAATTGAAATTTTGACAAGAATTTATTTAAATTTTTGAATATAATTGAGGGCTCGGATCGAACCGACGCTTCGCAATGTTCTGTTTGCAATTATTTGAAAGTTCTCAAAAATTCAAATTTTTTTTAGGTGTTTTTAAACTAAAATTCCTCGTTAATTTATAACATTGAGTTTAAATTTTATGATTACACTTTGAAAAAGATTTCAAAAAAAGAAAAATTTATTTTTGATTAGAAAAAGGTGAAAAAGAGGACAAATCAGTAAAAAAGGGGAAAAAGGTTGGCAAATCGTCAAAAAAGGTGAAAAGGGTGATAAAATTAAAATAAGGGGATAAAAGGGGACCAACTGTAATGCCTGAAAAACTTTAGTGAAAGAAATGTCTTCGAGGAATAATTTGTACCTTTTTGGATCAAAGTTTAATACAATAATTTCCGCTTAATTTCTAAAAATGTCATTCTGCTCAGTTTCATTTTAAGCACATTGCGGTGATCAAATAGTGCATCGTTTGTTGCGGTAAACATTTTCGTTTCGAAATTCACGGCTAAATTTCGATTGCTGTTAAACGACAGATCCAATTTCAGAGATAAATTTAGATTAGTTCCCTTGATAATTCGAAAAATATATACAATGTTTTCAAAAATTCCCCCACCGTTCAAATGAATGGAATATTTTCTCAGTAAATACTCATTTTAGTAAATCACTCACTGAAAGATGAAAAATATTAATTAAAAATTTTGAAACTATAAATTATTCGAGTTCTGCATTTCGCAAACCGTAGGATGATTATTTTTTAACTTTATTTATACTTCGTAAAAATTAAAGCAAGTGGGTTGGCGCGCAAAGCCCTTTATTATTTATAAACAAACGAATAAACAAACGAGAGAGAGGAATACGTCCCGAGTTTATGTAAACTTCATGAGAAATTCTGTTCCCAGAAGTAATAAATTTTCCAAAATCCAATGATAATTATAATTGTTTTAATAATGAGAAATTATTTTCAATATCTAAAGTCGGTGTTATAAAACCTGTCTTTTAACCTGAATTTTCGTCCATAATTGAGATAACCATTTATTTACAGAAAGGATTTGAAAAAAAAAAAATCGTAACATTTACCTCCGGGAATAACGTTGCCAGCTCCTTTATCGCCGTAGCCCAATTCTGGTGGTATAATCAACTTCCGCTTTTCACCGACACACATGTCCACAAGTCCTTGATCCCAACCTTTGATAACTTGACCAACCCCTAATTGGAAAGTGAATGGTTGATCTCTATCCAAACTGTAACAATGCAATAATATTTCACTGAAAATCTTGTCACTATTTTAATGAAATATTGGATATAATTAGAAAACAAATATGATGGTATATGTAGTTTAGAATTTTTTTAAAATGTTTTACTTTACTTTGAAATTAATTACAAATTCAACTTCAATTAGTGAACTGTTTTACATAATAGATTGTTTAGTCAGATCATGATTTGAAAGATTATCTTTGATTTAATGGGAATGTACAATTGGGTATGTAATTTTGATTCTAATGTGTCTATTAGTGTAGGTTTATGATCGTGTTGTAAACATATTTTCATTAATTTGGAGCTATTTGGTCCTAAATTTGAATTTCTCCTAAAAAAAATATCAAAATTTGGATTTGAATAAAAGACATTTGAACCTTTTTAAGGAATTTGATTATAATTTTTGAGAACAGTTTTTTGATTTCTAGTATTAGCGAATTTAAATGAAAGTAGTGGAAATTCTAAAAAAAACAGAAATAGTAATTGTACCTACATGTTTAGAACCAATGTTCCTAAATGAAGATGCAGTTCCCTAATTGAAATTCTGAATTCTTTTTTTAATTGTAAATTATTAAAGATTATGAAAGATTAAAACTGAGGAACTTCTTGACCTGTAAGGTCAAGAAGTTCCTCAGTTTTAATCTTTTTCGTTTATTTTAGTTTTAATTTCTTCCTTTCTTTTTTATGGTTCAATTCGTAAGCTAAATTTTCATTTATATGCAATACATTATTTTCCAAATATAACAACGGATTTTGTAAATTTAAATTTTAAAATAACATTGCCAAGTTTATCATTTGACGAGCGCGCGCGCGGCGATAACCTTAATTTCTTATCAGTCTAGTTCGCCTAGTATGCGTATTTAATTACTTCATTAACCGTGTCGTTTTATGATCTTATGGTCCTTTGTGACGGTGGTTTATTGCGCCCAAGATCTCTCGCGGCATATGGTGTGAGTTTAGTATCGGTGAGAATCGTATTTCAACATTTACCGCGTGCAATGGAACGTAAGGGCTTCGAGAATTCCGTACACCTTTCCAACTTTTCGAAATGACTCAAGAGTCGTCGTCGTCGTCGACGCTCGTATATTATCAGAAACCTTAGGACTCACTGGAAAATACTCCCAACGATAAGTGCTTCTATATCAGTGGTGCATTCGGTTTCGCTTTCGATGAAATATATTTCTAGGGCATTTTCACGTGTTTAAATTTCTCATTTCATGTGAGTTCACGCTTCTTCCAAGTACATGCACTATAAAACCCAACCCATGTTGAAACTTTCATTTTAGGTTCAGATTTCAGGCAGTAAATAACGTTCCTCATATGTGAATCTTATGCGGAAAATTCTCACAGATTTGGGGAGAATCGTTTTTTTTATATTATCACATCATTAATCTTTCTAATGTTGGACGCTTCTTTAAATACTTTCAGGAATTTGAAGTGTTTTAGTTGTTTAATCTTTAAATACTTTCAAAAATTTGAAGTGTTTGAGTTCTTTAATCTTTAAATACTTTCAAGAATTTGAAGTGTTTGGAGTTGTTTAATCTTTAAATACTTTTAAGAATTTGAAGTGTTTGAGTTGTTTAAATACTTTCAAGAATTTGAAGTGTTTTTGAGTTGTTTAATCTTTAAATACTTTCAAGAATTCGAAGTGCTTAAGTTGTTTAATCTTTAAATACTTTCAAGAATTTGAAGTGTTTGAGTGACTAAACCAAATAAAAATGAAAAACAAAATAGCGAACACCCCAATTGTTGACAAAATATAAGGTTCGATATTTATTGAAAAGTAAAGTGTGCCATACGTTCACATGTGAGTTGTAAGAAGATGTTAAAACTCGAAAAAAGGAAAAGGAATCACTTTGGTACATACGGGACACAAGGGAGATACAAAATTGGATAAGTCTTTTCTTTGGACGACGACCAGTTTCGCGCGTCGTGCAGGACCTGAGGGACGGAACCGAAAGATAGCTTGTCCAAGAAACGTAAAGTTTATCCCTTGTATATCGCGGAGACGATTTTAAATATTCAAAGAGGCTTTGAGCGTACACGATATCGCGCGCTTACAGGAAGGTTTATATCCCCCAGTGGGGTACTCATAGAGAGGAGTGGATGGAGAACCGCGGATAGAACCTTGAATTGCAAGAAAAAAAGAGGAAAAAGAAAAAGAAAATTGAAGTGATAAAATTTTTCGTAAAAAGTAACTACCTTATAATTTTGTAATAAAGCTTATCAGTCATGTTTTTTCAAATGATATAGAAGCGGTATTAATTTTTGAGAGGAACTTAATGACATTTGCGGACAAGTTGGTTTATTAATTTCTTCTATGAACATTTTATTAAAAAGTTTTTCTAGAGGAAATTATATTTTGCGACAAGTTGATTTATTATTTCGTCTTCAAACATTTCTAAAAAAAAATTCTTGTGGTTTTTAGAAGCAACGGCATTTTTAGATAAGTTGGTTTATTATTAGCGCTTTTGTTATAATTTTTTTTTAAATCTAGTCCTGTAGGATATAAAAATATTTTTCGATCTACTAAAAGTATGCTTAATAATAATAAAAAATTTCTGAAATTAACTCTAAACTACGTTCTTTAAACCTATCCATCTAAGTAGAAATAATGTTCTTTTTTAATCAACGGGATATTAGGCACGGCATTGTAAAGAGGTTTTAATGTCTGTGGAGATTAAATATATTGTTTGCCAACACAAGGATTGTTTCATTCCGACTGTAAAAAGTCAGTCAGTGCCTCATCATTCTTCGTTGAGCAGTCGTGCGAAATAATCGTTCAATTTAAAGCTAATGTTGCGTGTCACGTCGAAAACTGAATTTTATGTGATTCGTTTAAAAATTAATTTTTATTTTAATCCGATAAACGCGAAATAATAATAATAATAATAATAATAATAATATATTCGAGAAATAATAATATTCCCGATGAATTGCAAAATCAAATTCAAATATTAAAAATAATAAACCAACTTGTCCCGAAATGTCATTCTCAATCTGCAATAATTTTATTAAAATTAACTCTTTAAAATGCAGAAATTAAGGTTAATAAATAAATAATTGACTTAAAGTTAATCTTTGAGTAAAGTATTGATTTTCAACCGCAACATTAGCGTAGCTACGCCACTGTAATTAATTATAAAAATATATAATTAATGTCGCGGGATAGAAGTGATCTAGTGCGGTAAGGGAGCCTGCCACAGTAAACATGCTGGATTTTAACCCTAAACTAATCAAGCCGTCAATGCTATACATAATTTGTACTTTATTTCCCTATTTCAAAATAAAATAATAATAATACAAAATTAATTAAAAATTTGTTATTTAAAAAATAACTGAAGAATATTTTATCAATAAATGAGTCAAATCACGCTTATCACTGTCATTGCAGAAGGAAAATTGTTTTATGAACAAACAAACCTTGTAGATGATTTACTATTAGCAGTGTTGTTTTATTATTCAAGAGTAATAAATTTCAGAAAAAGAAAACAATGATTTTTAAAGATAAGTAAAGTTTTCATAAAAGACAAGTTGTTAGTCGTTAAAAACAAATGCTTCAATGAAGGAAATTGGAAGGGGAATTTTGATTTCTTATTGTTAGTAGAAAAAGGGTATTCTCATCAGTTGAGTTACAAACTTTCTTGCGAGTGGAAGATTTTTTTCTTCTTCCGGATAGGTCAAGTGGTTTTTTTTACCCCCTTTTTTCAGTGAAGTGTTTAAAAATGTGTATATGTGTTAATTGTTAGTGTGGGAATATATTGAAGTCACCGGAATAAGAAAGGTTTAGTGTAAAGTGAAGCCGTAAAGCCACGTGGTCGAGGCGTACAAAGTTGGTGTAGGAAGAAAAAAGGGCGACCCCAACTAAAAGGGGTGAGGAAATTTTCAATTTATGCCGAAGGGAGTGGAGATCTTCTTCGTCGAATAAATTTCGTTCATAATAAGGTAAATACTAAAACAAATTATAACTAACTTATGTTTAACCGAAAGCGTAATAATTAATTTTGAATAAGAAAATAAAATTGCATCACCCATAAAATTGTTCAACTGTTCAATTTTAATTAGCACAAGGATACCAAAAGTAAATGGGGGAAAATTAAAATTAACAGCTGGAAAATACCCTATTTAATTTGATTAAATATTTTTTACTCTGTTGCTTTTATCTTAATCCCAGTTTCACGATGTGGGGTATTAAGGACAACAGAAAGCTTTTTATTCTCGTATAGGTGACACTCGTTTTGTTAATTGACTAAACAGTCGGATTTCTTTCACTTCGTTACTTTTTCTATCAAAAGTAAAAAGAGGACGAAAAGTTAGTATCTATTAACTAAATTCTGTTATTTCAAAATTAGAAAATTGATTTAATTAGAAAAATTAATGATGTGTTACGTCTACGAACATTACTTAGAAAACTCTTGTAGGTTGTGGAAGGAATGACATTTTTGGACAAGTATTATGATTTGAAAATCTGTTAAACGATATACTTCTTAATAATGTTTTAATATCTCTAGAAGCTCTATTTTCTGCTTCAATATTGTCAATTCCTCGATAGTCTTCCGACATGATTCTCTTAAATCGTTCCCACAATTCATTAAGTTCTACTGGATTACAATGAATTAAAATTCCAACAAATAATCGACGAAGTAGTTAAGGCATCATCCATACAACAGCTTTTTTCCCAAAAAAAATTCTGTTACTTACTGTTGTTGGTTGCAGAAACCACATCTTTAGATATGTTGAAGCTTAGCAACATTAAAGATTTGTATATTTACAGTCTTATCATTTCCCTGCTTCATTGAAAATTTTAATCACAAAAACATTGAAAACTACCAAGCTTGTTTTTATATTAAAGTTTGTCCTCAAGCTTTGTATTAACTTTGACTATTTAGAAAATTCATGAGGATTTAGAAGTGCGACTCGAGACCCCAAAAGAACAGGGATATTTAAAAATTCCACGAAAAAAGAAGCTCGAGACAGAAAGAGAACA